ATAATTCTTCTGATTGATATTTCCTATTGACAGCTAGTTTCTATGTGAACATTATGAGATGGACAGCCAGCTAACAAGCTTTTTATACAAATATTTCAGATCAAAGCCAATTCAGTGGGGCTCCTGAAAGGGAGCAAGGGACACTATGCTCCCAAATATTAAGCCTTGACCCCCATCTTAAAATTGATATGATCCAAAAATATCTGCATTGTCGGAGGCCTTTTGTCCTCATTATCATGTCAAATTGTACAGCTTTCCTTAGTGTTGAATGCAGAAAGATGACTATATTAGAGTATTAAGTGAAAATGACTATATTAAAGTTTTAAGTAAATGTATTAAGTGAATTACTCAAATTGCATTTGTATAGGAATGATTCTGTCCTATTGGCAGATAACTACTCTTAATAGTGATATCTACAAGAGGTTTCCAATGTAAATTTAACTATTTTCAATTGGTTAGTATTACATTTTGTGACAGTGTGGTGACACTCATTTGAATGAAGACACATTTGTGTATCTTGAAATTCGTGTATTTGACAGAGCTGGAAACTGATTGACTTACATACTTGTTTGTGTTTACCTACACAGTCATCACAGATGAGCCAAACAGAGTAGAGGATGAAGAAAGGGGAACAGGAGAAAGGGACACACAAGAAGGAGATATAACAGACAAGAACAACAATGGAGACAACAATGAACAGGAACACCAGAACAGACAAGAGTCAATGGGTAACATGAATGATTTAGGGACTGCAGATAGAGGACCAAGGCAAGTGAGACATCACTGCTTTCCATCCAGCATGTTTGGCCAGCAAAAGAGATCATTTCAACCGCAAACAGCAAGAGATGAGGGATTATTATTTCCTCCTTCCATCCCTTTTTTCTGTTTAATCTGATTACTAACAACTTCTAATCATTTGACATAGTTTATGATTTAATTGGAAAATGAAGTGTTTTTAAATAATAAACCCGTTTCTGATTCTTTGATTTATTTTTGACATATGGGTGTTGAGAGATGTATCCATATCTCTTAATGTTGCTCTCAAAGTGCACAAGATTGATGCTTTTAACTTCAATATTTAAAAAAAGTCTTCCTGGGGGGCCCCAGAGGAGGTGAGTTCCCCCCAAAATAGCACTTTATCTCTGCTTATGTAACTCCGGTGTAGTGTCCCCTCGGCAACAGATCACTCAGAGCTGGTGATTACTTTCCTGTATTTCAATGGGCAGCATATAAAAAGGACACGTGAGCTGCATTGCTTAAGAGATCCTCTCATGCTATCTCTTTTACAAAATAAGTGTCCAGTCAACAACAAAACATCAGTGATCGTATAGTGGTAGTATATTTTTCACAAGCAATGTGAAACATTAAACTTGTTCGCTGGGCATGTCAAAAACCTCCCTGCTTTGATCAAGACTTTAGGGAGCCTTTAGCCCCTCTAGTAAAGGGACTGGAAAGCAAGCTTTGACAATTCAGTACCATCTACATGCTGTCATGTTCCAGACACTGCTCTCAACCACTCAGGGCCTGCACACATACCTGCAGAAAGAAACAATTGACTTGGTGCAGGCAGTGGATTACAAAACAGCAGTTGAGAACACACTGAAAAGTTACCGAAGTAACGAGAAAGCACATGAGGTCTATGACAAGACCAAGGCCCTCAATGATCTGGATATTCCCGAAACTGTGACACAGAGGAAGAAGCGTAGAGACATGGAAGACTTCGTAGTCAAGGCATCATGTGGAGCAATGTGAAATATTAAACATAAATAAACTGGTGTACAAAACTCACATACCTGCATTTCAATGGACAGCATAAAAGGACTCGTGAGCTGGGTTCTGTTGGAGAAATAGCACCATGCTGCTCACATGAGCTTATTAGCTCAGATTAGCTATTGATGATCATGTTGATAAATCATATAAAACAAATAGCCAATCACGCAAAAAACATGTTGCTGTGACTGTGAGCATTAAACAATTAACATTAAACTAAACAAACACAACAGTACGTTATTGTCCTTATAAAATAAAAACATACATTTTGTCCACCGAGATAATACAGGCACCTTACCCTCAAGTGATCCTCAGGTGCTATGAGAATCTCCCACAATGCATTGCCGTAACAAAGCTAATGCAGGCACACGTTTGTGACACCAGATGGCGCAATTGTGTATGTGAAATTGTAGAAATGTAGAAAATTCGACTGTCGCGCCGCCACTGTGGGCTAAGCCCCGAATGTTTCCAGGTCCAGGCGACGCCCCTGGTGGAGACCCTCTCCACTCTCTCTCCATTGAGGTGAAGGGGGGCGTGTTCTGGACGGTGCTTTCTGAAGTCTATGATGATTTATTTTGTTTTGCTTGTGTTCAGATGATTGTTAGCTGAACACCACACAGACAGCTTCAGGATCTCGTCTCTGTATGCCGACTCGTCGTCTCCCTTATATATTTGGCCGACCACAGTGGTGTCATCTGCACATTTTATAACGGAGTTGGAGGGGTGAATGGGAGAGCAGTCGTGTGTGTAGAGAGTGTAGAGTAGAGGGCTCAGCACGCAGCCCTGCGGGGAGCCAGTGCTGAGGGTACGGGTGGAGGAGCAATAAGGGCCTATTTTCACTGTCTGAGGACGGTCTGTTAGGAAATTGTTTATCCAGGCGCATAAGATGGAGGGGAAACCTAGGCTAGACAGTTTTTCCACTAGTATGTCAGGTATGATGGTGTTAAAAGCTGAGCTAAAATCAACAAACAGCATCCTGATATAGTTGCCTGGGCCTTCTAGGTGGCTCACAGCTGTGTGAAGGACCGTGGCGATGGCATCATCCGTGGATCTGTTGGCTCTATAGGCGAACTGATGAGGGTCGAGGGAGGGTGGGAGGCTGGCTTTGATGTAGTCGGCTATCAGTCTTTCGAAACATTTCATCACCGCCGATGTTAGGGCTATGGGCCTGTAGTCGTTGAGCTCTCTGACTGGTGTCTTTTTGGGGACAGGAATGATGGTAGCCGTCTTCAGACAGGATGGAATGCTAGCTTGTGACAGGGACAGGTTGAATATCCTGGTCAGGACCCCTGAAAGCTGCCGAGTACTCCATCGGGGCCTGCGGCTTTACCAGGATTCACAGACCTCAGCGTCTGCTTCACCTGATGTTCTTTGAGAGTGGGAGGTGGTAGGGAGCTGGTAGTTGGCAGGGACAGAGGCAGGGTAGAAAAGTGGGGGGGTCTGCTAGCCTCAAAGCGGGCAAGGAAGTGGTGTAGTTCCTCTGCAAGGTGGGCGTCAGCTCTAGTAGTGCCAGATGTTTTGCCCTTATAGTTGGTTAGCTGGTGAAGGCCCTGCCAAACGCACCGTGTGTTGTTATGAGCGAGATTCTCCTCCACTTTTCCCTTGTAGTCCTCCTTTGCAGCCTTGATGCCTCTCCTCAGGTTCGCCCTTGCCAAGCTGTACTGGGCTGCGTCCCCCGACCTGAAGGCTGTGGCATGGGAACTCAGGAGAGACCGCACTGCTCTTGTCATCCATGGTTTTTGGTTTGGGTAGACCCAGATGCGTTTTTCCACAGTTACAGGATTCCGTGATGATCATCACACAGCAGTCACGGACGTTTGTGTTAGCAGCTAATAGTACCTCCAGTTCGTCGATTTTGTCAACGATGGACCTGGCATTTGCGAGGAAGAGGCTTGGTAGTGGTGGTCGGTGCGGCCGTTTCCTTAGCCTAGCAAGCAGGCCTGCACAACATCCTCGCTTTTGCTTCCTCTCCCTCCGGCGGCTGCGTTGCTTCACAGGCCCGAAAACAATCCAGGGAGACCCGAGCGGTCTCGCTATGTCCTCCGGTATGTTGTTAGTCCGGTGGAAATCGGCTGTAATGTCAGAGTGACAACTCATCCCGATGTCAAATAAGTCCATGCGGCTGTATATGTATTTCGCCTGTTCTTGGGCGTTCACGCACACAAACAAAGAACCAACAGTGCACAACCAAAACAGAGAGCCGTGAGCCGCTGCATCTGAGCGCGCCGCCATCTTGACAAAACATGTCTATGAAGTGTTTTGCTCAAAATACCAAACAGATCACCCATTCTAGCCATACCTCATATCCCTCCATTTCACTTCCTGTTTCAAAAGTGCTAATTTGGGGTATAAAGTTTTTTCTTTTTAAAAGAAAGTTGATAATAAAAAAAAGGAGGGGGCTGAGCTCATGCGGGAGATGCTACCGGCAGATATTGCGGTGATGAAACGCCATATCATGGATTATTTCTGAAACAGTATGGAAGTCAAAGGCTTTCTCTCTTGCCGGTTATACCACAAGGTGAGTTCCTTTTTATTTCCTGCTTATACGACCATATTACGTCCAAAACAGTCAGGCATTGTTTCTGATAGCAACGTTTCTGATAGGGCAGTGGGTGTAAAGCCAGCCTACATTTCCGATATTACGTCATATCGGACGCAGATCAGCTCCGTTGTAGCCCCGTTTTTAGAGATTTGGGTACGGAGGAAAAGAGAGAGGGTTTTATTTTACACACCGGGGACACATATTTATGTATAACAGACATCAAAAAGTGCATTTTGCATGATAGGTCCTCTTTAAAGGTTAGGGGTAGCTATGTGAATAACCCTGAATGACCAAGCTTAAAATAACTACATAAATACATTTGCTACATATTTGTTTTTTTGTATTTAATTTGCCTTCAATTACTTTATGACTTTTATTTATTTTTGTCTTTATATTTCTATTTTTACAGTTGTTCCTTGTCAGTGAGTCCCTAAAGAGTTAGGGTTACAAATTGGTTGTTAACAAATAATATAAAAAACAAATATTGACACACGTTTTTCAAAAAAGATGCCTTTTAGTTAGTTTTTTTATGGATTGTGACCTTAGTATATTTAAAGTCTATGACTGTGACAGGACATCTTACAGTAAAGTTAACATGGCAGCGCTCTCTGGTGGACAAACATGAGATGGAAACCCTGCACCTGATAATAATAATAATTGCATTAAATAAAACCAGAACCAATACAAATAAGAATTTAGAATCTTTGAAGTCCATGATTTTATTTGTAATCTCCAATACAGAGGTGGGAGAAGTACTCCGATCTTGTACTTGTGGAAAAACAAGACTACTCTGTTACAAGTCAAAGTCTTGGAATCAAGTAAAAGTACAAAAGTATAACAATCAAACGTACCAAAAGTAAAAGTACTTTACACCACAGCTCCCATACAAAGGCAACAAGTGCAATTCACACTTGTTAAATGTAAAAGTTCACATGCACACATTTTTTCTTAAGATTCTCCAATGACAGAAGGAACCTGTATCTGCCCGTGTTAAAGTCATTTAACTTGAGGTTTTTTATTGTGCAAATAAACTGTAAAATCACCATAACAGTAAACCAGTGGAATACATCATGTTACATCATGGTTTACTTATTGAAGGGCACCATTTTTCAAGGACTAAGATTATTTGCGTTAAACATTAAATCAATATGTCAAAAATAGACTTATATAAATAGAGTAATTATTTACATCTTTTACTGATATTTTATTTGTGAATTATTATTATATTATTTAATAATCCAGGTTATCATTAACATTGAATACAGTTTCTACCTGAGGCACAGTGTTGTATACGTGAATGGAAATGCTCCCTTAAGATAATGAAATGTTTATTACTGAATAAACTGCTGTCACTCAGCCGAACTAAAGATCCATATCTCTACAAGAAGATGGAAGCCTTCTGTATATTAGAAAAAAAAAGACATCTAAACATGAGATACCTGAGTAGGATGTGTTATTTGGTCTGGTATAAAGCTTCAGGGTGAGGTTGACATTCTGATACTAATTCTTTCAAGTTTGCATAGATGAACATTAGAGAAGGTAGCCTGTGTGGATGGCATCTCATGGCAACATCAGGACATGATATGACAACCGCTCTGATCTATTTGGTAAAAGCACAGAATTACTTTTGTGTCAATATCGAGCGAAGCAGTGATGACGTATTTTTGCAGGCCGACCTTGAAGTAAGCATCGTCATGACTCAATTTTGGAATATTGCAAAAAATAAGAACACTGGAAAACACAACATTTCGTTTTAATCAGCTGGATAATCTCCACATATTAAAACCATTTTATGATTCTTGAAGCGCAAACGCAATCGACAGAATTAAAAAAGCTAATGTAATGCTATAAAAGAACTACACTGTCGCAGGACTTCACGTCACCAACGCTAAGCGAAAGGCGGCTAATATTCTGCCTTTAGGAGCCTAATTTAGCCACTCGATAGCAACTACCATTTTCAAGAAATGTAACAGCTTCAGACATTCACCATATAGTTACTCGTGTATTTTAGGTCGTAGAACAAAACATCTCTTCAGCTTGTGTTAATCACAGATCTTATTTCAGTCAGACAACTCACGTGTTTCTTTAACATGTTTATTAGAAGCAGCATATAGTTGAGTTTGGCGTCTAGGCTCGGGCATCATCACTCCATAGATATACATAGCACCGATGAGTGATGATCAAATAACTAACCCCCGAGCCTACAGGTGGAAGCTGGGGTGGAAGCTGGGGTGGTGGTGGGGCAGCAGCGACGTAGAGGTAGCTGCAGCAATAGCAGCATCAAGCAATGCATGGAGAGAGATCTGGCAGGTTAAATAGAGCGGCATATTAAGGAGACTCTGTTTGGTTGGTTGTAGAGTGGCAAGGGGGCGTTATGTATGAATGCAGCATAAGTGCTCGAGTTGACTGCCTGAACTAGCTCGCAGGCTTCGCCCCATTTAAGGCATCTAACCAAACATGAATTAAAAAGACGTTGACTAACAGACGAGGGAACCCGAAAGTGCTCAAATTGGATTTGTGGGTTTAGGACTTATCACTGCATCACGCTATTGTGACCTACCTCTTGCTACCCCGTTCACACACACTCAAACTGTCTTGCAGTGAAGATGTCGCAAAGTGTGTGTGTGTGTGTGTGTGTGTGCCTCAGTTTCTGCTTAGTCTCCAGGTGATGATGCTTCCTATAGCCAGGCCGGCGACGAAGATGAGGACGAGGCCGTAGCTGTGAGCGCTCATCATGGACACGCTCTGCATGGACAACTGGGCCAGCTCAGGGAAGCTGTAGATCTGTGAGAGACAGGTTCAATACTGTGGTCCATCGTAATGACTCGGGAGAACATATTTAGAAAAGATCAGATTCGAAAAATGTATCAACTAACTGACTTTCAAAATCTGATTCCAAATTGGAAAATTGGTTTATAAAAATAATTATATACATAAACAGGGTTAAACATTTATTTTATATATCAAGAGACTATTTTAGATAACATAATATAAAATACAGAATAAGTTATACACAGTTATAGACCAACTTATTATTAAAACAAATTATATAAACATTGGTAAAATATACTTACATTATACAAGTGAACAAGTTGTATTTTTTAAATTTATTAAAGTGTTCCTATTCTGCTCATTTTCAGCTTCATATCAGTCTTTAGTGTCTCTACCGGGACATGTCTCCATTCAAAAAGCTCTTTATTGTTCTCATACTGCCTGTGCTGCAGCACCTCTTTTCACCCTCTGTCTGAAACCAGAGCCCAGTCTGCTCTGATTGGTTAGCTGGCCGGCTCTGTTGTGATTGGTTAACCGCTTAGTGATGTCCCGCCCCCTAGCCTATCACGTATAATGTGTTGGAGCAATAGCCAATAGAAATGTGAGTGTTACTTAGTGATGTAAGTAAACAAGGGAATCCAATGGAGGCGTTTCAGGCAGGGGGGGGAGTATGTGGGAGAGAAACTTCCTCTGGAGGGAACACAGGGATTGTCGTCTTTGCAGACCATTTACATGCACTAAAACCTATAACACACTACAGGAAAGGGAAAACCCTCAAAAAGTGAAAAGAAATAAGGAAGAAATGAAGTTCCGACATACCCATCCTCCTTGATCCCGAATCCAGGCTAGTAGATGCTTTTTGAAGAAATCCACAGTCCATCTCAGGATCTCCATCACTGACTCGGGGAGATGAGCCTCCACCATCTGATGCACACACACAGATAAAGTCCATACACAAGGTTTAGCGGCTGCCAGACTGTGGTTTATTTCAATGACATTGCTGGATCATTGATAACCATCGATGGTTAGCTTAGCATGCTAGCTAATATCATGCTAATCTAAACCTAATGCTACCATCACAAACAAACTTGCAAAGTCTCTAAATGAAACCTTGAAACAATTCTAGATGTTTGCACTTCCAGTTCCCTCGCGTGGAAGCCGATGGGTTTTCGGTTAGGGGGCTGTGGTTAGTCAAATTTGTTGTTCTACGACATAGATTTGACAGTAAATATTCCACTCATACATTTAGAAGCTTTTATGTCTCTTAAGAATGGTGGTTAACAACAAGTAGCTAATTGAGACTGCTGAACAAAATAATGTGTGATGTTTTTATCATCATCAAAGCAGGGTTGCCAACTCTCACGCATCTGGCGTGTGACACACGCTTTCACTCTCAATCTCACGCTCTCACGCTGCCCAAACTATTCTCACGCCAAAAACAAGATGAACCGGCGATCGTTTTTGGTTGGTTATTTACAATGTTGAGTTGACAGCTGCTCAAGCTGTGGATCCGCCCCCACCACTCTTAACAACGTTAACAGACAGCAGAGCAGTGGGAGCCGGTTGGTCAATCCCCGACCCGTGTTGCGCATGCGTAGATCTAAGATCCAGTAGAAATGATAAAAGAGTAAAAGTCTGCTGCATATTGTTCTACTATAGGCCAAAATAGAGTCAAAGACTATATGAGAGTGAGAGTGCGTTAATTAATATATTTGGCAGTTTGGAGTGAGTCTGTTTGTGTGTGTGTGTTTCATGTATAGGCCTCTCACGATAATTAATGTTGTTGGATACATTTTCCCGGAAAACATTGCGATAAACGATAATATTGTCGGCACCGTTGTATGACCATTTTAGACCACTGACATAATGATAATATATAATAATTCAAGTACATCCTTTCAAACTGCTAGTCACATCCTCATGTAAATAGAAATGTATCGAGGTCAGAAAAGTTATGGAGTTCATTTTTATTTATCGTACGATAAGTCAATTAATTGCTTATCGCGACAGGCCTATGCACACAATAAAACAGTGGAAACAAACATGTGTTTGACTTTCATTAGTGAATGAAACTTTGTGCACTTTATAGTATGTGTCCAATATTGTGTATTTGTATATATTGTATATCCTATATATATGCTAAGGTCCCACTGCTGACACAATAGCAGTCATTTTGTGCGCATATGTGTAATGAAACGCATGATATCAAAATCTCACTCCAGCCAGGTACCCAAAGTTGGCAACCCTGATCAAACCTAACATTAGCCACCTTTAGCTTAGTGATGTTGATGTCAAGTCATGGGAGTGTGATGTAGTTTGTTAATAGTCTAGCATAAGCTTTTTATTGCTAGAGATGGGAGTGGCTATATACAGGACGGTCCTGTATATAAGGTCTCTGAAATGGCTATATACAGGACCGTCCTGTACACAACCCTCTGAAATGGCTATATACAGGACCGTCCTGTACACAACCCTCTGAAATGGCTATATACAGGACGGTCCTGTATATAAGGTCTCTGAAATGGCTATATACAGGACCGTACAGGAGACATTTAAAACATATGTCATATGTATTATTGCTACATAAACATTATATCGCAGTCTCCGTTTCTAATATGCAATATGACTATAAAATGCGTCTATAATGTATTTTCGATCTTCCCAATTCAGACGAGAGATCTCTCCCCCGCCTGCTTGCGAGGGGGCGGGGCAGTTTACACACACACACACACGCAGCTGCTACATGCAGCAACACACACACACGGAGGAGATGGCAGAGAGAACGCGCTCCGAGGTGTGGTTAAACTTTAGCCGTCTCGATGTGGACAATACTCGTTACCAAAAGTGCAATAAGAGTTTAGCATGTGAGGGCGGTAACACGAGCAATTTGTCTAAACATGTATCAAAAGTGCTCCACATTCAGACGGAGGAATGCACCGGGTTCCACTGTCTTTCTAGCAGCTCTGTAGCCCCATCCACGAGTAACGTTTCCACGTCAGGTGTTCTGTATGCTAGCAGCAACACACGGAGTTAACTCAGTTATACAAACATGGGTTAATGATGAGAGGTAACTGAGGTATTTATTTTGTTAAAGTTTCAGCTATTCTGTTTACAGTTCTGTCATCACATTATTTAATATGATTTGTTAAAACATTGTTGTTTCTTTTGATGTGAAATATTATGCATTTAATTAAAATAAAAAGCAATGTTAGTTTTGTTCACAATTTGTTTAGTTAGTTTACCTTATTTCTTGTCAAAAGAACCGATAATACTATCGTTAAAAGGACCGGATCGATAAGCAGTATCGATATAAGTAGTAGTACAGTTAAAACCTTAACGATCCGAATAATTGATTAATCGTTTCATTAATCGATAGATTAATCGATTATCAAATTAGTCGTTTGTTGCAGCCCTAGTTTGAAACCAGAGGGTGACCTTCACCAATTTTAGAAATGAAACCTGACATTTCATGGGATTTTCACGTCTTTATCGGCAGAAAAATCGAGTCGCTTTTTATGTAGTCTACAGAAATATGGATATAATTGGTGTACAATTAACGTTTACAGCAGGATAAATTACAAAAATGTACAGCATACTACATACAATTCAAAATACGGTTTCTCCGATTTCTAAAATAAAAATGCCGGCGTAGCCGATAAATGATTTGTGTTGCTTTCAATGCAAAATCACACGTCAACGAAATGTCGGCGTATTCTTTAAAAAAAACCCTTCAGTTTTAATAAAACCGAGTAGTCTTTAAAGTATGCAGTGATATCCTTTACAAGTAAAACATTGTGCATTGGAAAATATAAAGTAGAAAATGATTGAAACAACATAAAAAGATAAGCCAAAAAAAAGACTGAAATCAGCATAAAAAGCTAAGCAATTGGCATGGAAAGAGATTTAATTGCCACAATTTTATATTGAGGGGAAACTCATTGAAAATAATGTTGTCGTGAGAATATTTATCTGTGAATCCTATCCCTACATTACCACCCGCGAAACTTGCTTAAGCATGCTATAATAGCCCGGTCTGTATACAGTGTATAGTCATTTGACGTTAGCTGCAGGACGGTCCTGTATATAGCCATTTCAGATATCTTATCCACAGGACCGTCCTGTATATAGCCATTTCAGAGAGCTGTTTACAGGACGGTCCTGTATATAGCCATTTCAGAGAGCTGTTTACAGGACGGTCCTGTATATAGCCATTTCAGATATCTTATCCACAGGACCGTCCTGTATATAGCCATTTCAGAGAGCTGTTTACAGGACGGTCCTGTATATAGCCATTTCGGAGCTTGTATACAGGACGGTCCTGTATATAGCCATTTCGGAGCTTGTGTACAGGACGGTCCTGTATATAGCCATTTCAGAGACCTTATATACAGGACCGTCCTGTATATAGCCATTTCAGGGCTTCTGTGCAGGACCGTCCTGTATATAGCCATTTCAGAGAGCTGTGTACAGGACGGTACTGTATATAGCCATTTCAGAGAGCTGTGTACAGGACGGTACTGTATATAGCCATTTGGCGTTGTGTACAGGACCGTCCTGTATATAGCCTCGGCCGCTAGAGATTACATTTACGCAACATTGGTTTTTATTTTTGAACATAATTTTTGCTGAAAAATAATTGTAAATATCATAAATGCTTGTTTACCTCAATTTATTTTGCAGAGGGAGCCAGATAACCTTCTAATAAAACGATGTGATCCCTACAGCAGTGGTTCTCAACTGGTGGGTCGCAAACCCGTTTCGAGTGTGTGAGTGAAGAAAAACCTTTTTTGAAAAAATTGTTTTTCTTTTTTTGAAAAAAGTCAAACTTTTATTTTGAAGGCCAGATTTTCTAACGCTGTGCATGCAGTAGGCGTTGGACTGGAAGAACCGGAGACCATAAACGGTTTTGAAAACTTCTGTCACGTAGTGATCATCTTCTCAATAAAATATCTTTGCTGATGTTTTTTCGAGTCTTCTGGCCAATCAGAATCAAGATTGTTGCCGGAAGTCCCCACGGAGAATAACTTTGCGGTAGAACTATTCTTTATACATCCATGGGTACAACTTCAGATACAAATGAACACATGAAATATGACCCCCGGTTTGAAGATTGACAGGTCACAGAACAATGGGGGCTATCTACCCTTACCCACAATTTAAAGTAATTCACACAGACTATCTCGTCTTTGCTCTTCTCTCTGTGTGGAGCAGCAAGTTCAGCTTCAGAACAAAGTGACAAACAAACAATGGCAGAAAATATTATGAATATGTCGGGTAGTAATAGATTTATTTATTTTCGTCTCAGAGTACCAGAATGTGTAGTTTATGTTAGTATTTCTAAAAATCTCCGGGGGAGAATCCCCCCAGACCCCCTGCTGGGGATGGGTTTTCAGCATGACTGCCTTTTTATGTTATACAGTTCAGCTTTGATTCCATCAACTCATTAAACCTTAAAACATTCTTTAGTTCTATGGAGGGATATAAGCAGGGGTGCACATAACTTTTTTTGCCCTGGTTCTCAAAGGAGCACCTGGAGATGTTGCTTGGTGCTCATCCTTAAAATGAAATAAACCGTAACTTTTGAGGGGGTCTTGACTTTATTTGCCAGACACACGCGCTGAACACACATGCAGAGGTGAACACAGAACACACATGCAGAGGTGAACACAAGACAACATTAGCACGACCAGTAATCCTACAAGCTGTCATCACTACCCTCCCGACTGTTCTCCTCACTGTCTTCCTCTCTGTCAGACATGGTAGCTGATGATGTAGGCCTACTTCTTCCTCTCTGGTTGAGTCTGCGATTAGCTGCTTGCATCCACAAGTCAACAGCTGGGTTTGGGTCGAAAGTCTCTGTTGTCATCTTAGACAAGTGGATGTAATCAAATAAGTATGTGAACATAACCAATAACCTACCATAGCCAATAACAATTTAATGTAACTTATTTTATTTATGTTGTTCATTCATATCTTATTTTACCTTAAAAAATTTTGTTATCTCTCCAGTTTTAAAGGATATTTTTGGTTACTGTCCTATAGTATACATTGGAATGATTTCAAACCTGTTTATCCCAATAATTATAAAGGAGTGCCTTGGAAATATGTGTTTACATCAATTGTGACCAAACCGTTTGAACTTAGACTAAAGTGAACTATCTAAACACTCAGAGTCCTTTACCTCACTGAGCTGTAGTATCAGCCTCTCAGTCTGACTGGAGAGGACTCTCCCTCCACATTATTGTAGAAACATCTTCTTCTTATATCCGTTAGAGCAGCTAGCACCAGATTCTAATAACAACAGCGCTGGTACCGGTGCACCCTCCCTCTCTCCCTCGCACTTTGGCTGTGAGCTACGGGCGCCAGATAAGCCAACATCCCCCATTTTCATCACTTACAGCGCCCATCGTACAGGGCAAATGAAACATGTAACCGGGGTGAAAAGGGTGTTACATTTACTTAATTATGAATATTGTTACATCAAGGCCGAAAATTAGGATGAGCGCCAACGGTCAGAAATGTTTTTTTCCCTCCCAGAACTGCCAGCGCAGCGCCTCCCCAGATCTGGCGCCCTAGGCGAACGTCTAGCCAGTGCTACGGGCCGGCCCTGAGTTCATATCATGGTTCATATGCAACTCGCAAATATCTTTCTCTCTCTCTCTCTCTCTCTCTCTCTCTCTCTCTCTCTCTCTCTCTCATCTATCCTCTATTTTCTCTTTTCCCTTCTCTCTCTCCCTCTCTCCCTCTTTCAATGTTGGTACGCAAATGCGCTTTGTTTCAAATGACCCGGTGCTCTTTTTTTGGCGGAGGTGCGCATGCGCACCTGCGCACCAGTTATGTGCAGCCCTGGATATAAGGGATATATGCACTGTACTTCACTTTCATTAAAAATGTATGCTGAAAAGCGTATATATATATTACAGCATCATTTTTTGTTGAATAGATTTGAGGGGTTCAAAATGTTGGGTCGCGATCTATTGACAAAGGAAAAAGTGCAGGGTTCCAAGGCCTGACCAGTTGAGAACCACTGCCCTACAGAACTCTATTGATCAAGAATAACTATCCTCATCCTATTAAACATATACAAAAATACAAATAATATATATTTAAAAAGTACAGAGTCAACACAATTTCACTTATTTTAGAGAAAGGTAGTTAAAAGGCTAAATAGTACAGCAGAGCTAGCTTTTTAGTGGATAGTCACTTCAAGCTCAGCTAATACCTGTTCCCTCTAAACACAGGGTGTCAAGTAGAAAAATCCTTTAGTGCATAGAAAGTGAGAACCTAAAATACTCTGGTAGTAAGCTTTGGTACTGAAAGCCTCCTCTGATAACAAATCACTCAAGAGGTGATCAGAATCGGTTTCATTACCAATTAGGTTTACACATACGAGGAACACATACAAGGGTTTTTCTTTGGTATATGTGGTGCATACATATGTGCTCTAAAGACCATTTATTAACACTCTGATGTGCGGCACTAACAGTCTAACCCACCTTCACAGCCAGCTTGCCGGCGACGTAGAAGAGCACAGCGATCCTCTCCCAGGTGATCCCATGCTCAAACACTTTGTCGGCCACCATCTTAAAGTTGTCTCGCTTAGAGCCGGAGGAAACAGCGATCCCATCTATCACACTGCAACAGACACAAGAGAGGAGGGGTTATATAGGTGCAGGAATGAGTCCTAAACTCGGAAATTAGTTAGCATTTTAGCACTTCCTGTTTTTTTTAACGTGTTCTTTGTTAGAACAGAAGGGACTAAATGAGACTAGTATACGTCATCAACAACATTAGCCACCTCTAGCTTAGTGATGGGGACTTGAAGAGCGTCTTAATGCCTACTGTTAGCTTTTTACTTCTGCTGGTTGCATAGTGTGGTGTTAATATGTGGAGATTATCCTGCTGAACAAGACATGTGAACAGTCTGCTCCAGCTCTGTTGTCACAAGGACAGACACAGGAAGTCATTCTTGCCTCAGACAATAACACAACACCTCTGACAGCAGAGAACTCACTGCTCCATAGTTTGCTCAGGTCCTCCCTTTCTATTATCATGAACAATTTGCACTTACATAATGTAGCCTCACAGGATATATTTCACTTTCAATTCAAAGCTGTGCACAATTCTTTAATGTATTTAGTACAATATTTGTATATGTTTTATATATTTAGTAGATTGGTATATTAGAGAGTATTTTAATTTATTCTGTATATTTTATAATGCGTAATACTCCTCTGAATATATGCCTTTTTACTGAGAATATGTATATTTTTATTTTGATATGTATTTTTATTTGGACATTTTTGTAGATTGACCGTCAAAAAGCTGCTGTGAGGACTTCCGGTGAAGCACGAGGCTGATGGCAGCAAGATACTGAGCGCTTAACAAAATCCCCCCTTTTTTCATATGTATTGCAACTCATAGACAGTAATAACACATATTTGAGAAAAGAAATGTCTCCAGCAAAGAAGGAAAAGACTCCGACTAAAAAACAAGAATCTAACAGCAAGCTAGCGATTCACCCATCGATATAGCTATGCTAATCAAGCAAGCTATCGCGGATGAGATGGAAACTCTGCAGGGAACAGTAGCAGACATGCTACAGGGTGCGATTGAGAAGGCTCTCAATCCTATAGAGAAGCACTTGGTCGAAAACGGCAACATCCTCCGGTCATTAAAAGAACACGCTGATGGTCACGCAAAAAAGTTTGAGACGGTTTTCAATAAGATTGAGAGTATTCAGGTTGCCGTGCGCAAGAATGAGAAGGAAACTAGCACGTGTATCATGGAGGTGACAAAGATGCGAAGGAAGCTCAATGAATTGGAGGACAGGTCCAGAATGAACAATGTAAGGATTGTCAACTTACCAACAGGTGTTGAGGGCGATGATCCCAGGGGTTACCTTCAAAAGATGCTGCCTATACCTTCAATCAAGAGCCCCAACAATAATCCACTGGAAATCGATAGGGCACATCGTATTTTCTCCAACAACACCTCAAGATCGCGGACCATGGTTCTCAAACTACTACGCTATACCGACAGACAGGCCATTCTTGAAGGCGCGAGGAAAGCTAGACCGACTCTCCAAGACGGGACACAGCTGTTGTTCTTCGCCGATTACAGCCCCGGTACGACACAGGAGCGACAGGAATACAAGGAGATCCGCACTAAACTTCGACAGAAGGGGATCGACTCGTTCATCATATACCCGGCAATTCTGAAAGTGAACAACAAGGGCACGAGGATGTCATTTAACTCTGCAGAAGAGGCGAGAGAAGCCCTTAAATCAACGGTGGACATGCGAGAAGATCCTGGACATTGAATACGCTACCTGTGCCAACGGAGGAGATGGATCTGCAATAAGGACAGAGAAAAGTCTGGCACCTATGGGCAGGTAGACGCTATGTAGGTGATGTTCTATGCTTATTTTATATTGGACAATATTCGTTAAGCCTCGATACTTGAATATGTTGAAATAGGGGCCAGTTTATTTTCAAATTATAGCAGATAAGAGTTCTAATGTTATTGTTTAATTGCCATGTTTATATGGTGTTAAGGTAATATTCCGCCCATACTATATACTTTAAATTCGAGTGATATGCGGCATAAATAATGTACATTATAACGGAATAGGCTTGGGAAGCTGGAGGCGTGTTTTGAAAACTTTGTAATGCCTCCACTGTTTACATTCATGGGCGCGTGATATGTATGACGTCATCGGCAGGCAACGGTCTGTATATGGGCTATACCATTTCATGAGAACGAGAGGGGGATGGTTGTAATGATACAGGTTGATCGGTTTAAAAGGGGTTTTCTATTCCTCAGTTTTACTGTTTGTGAGATCTGCTATGCTTTATCTTTATGCAAGGGGGGGGGGGAACAATCAGTGTTCAGTGTTAGATGTAGCTAAGTGACGCTCACAGATGTTACCAAGAAGAGGGTCGAATGGGGGGGGAAAGGGGAGGGTTGTAACTCAGGGATCCACCACCAACTCACAACAGGTCCAGGGAATAAATACACATACAGATAAATTGGAACATTTGAATATTGTATCATTTAATGTAAGAGGACTTAACTCTCCGTATAAACGTTCAAAAATCTTAGATTTCTTGCGCAGAAAGAAGATAGATGTTGCAATGTTTCAGGAGACACACCTTAAACCTAATGACACTTCAAGGATTCAAAACAGATTCTATAAACCTATTGTGGCATCAACTGATGGCACTCGCACTAAAGGAGCTATGATACTTATGAGGCGTAACATAAATGTATCAATTGAAAGGATTGGCTCTGACAATAAAGGACGTCTAGCCTATTGCTGCACATCTATTCAACGTAAAAAAGTGGCTTTTGTTAGCATATATGCCCCGACAGTATTTGAAGCTGATTTTTTTCCCTCAGTTACTTCACAGTTACTAAAGTTAAATGACTACCAATTATATGTTGGGTCGGACATGAATGCTTTTGTAAACAATAACCTTGACAAATCTGCTGCAACTCTATCAAGTTCTCAAGAATCTGCTTCCAAAGCACTTAATCTCTTTATAACAGACTTAAACTTAATTGATGTGTGGAGGGTGCATAATCCATCTGTGAGAGACTATACATTTTTTTCCACGAGACATAAAACCTTCTCTCGAATAGACTACATTCTTGTATCTTCTGGGCTGATGCCTTCAATACAGTCAATTGAGTTCCTACCCAGACATCTCTCGGATCACAACCCAATTTTAGCTAATTTTAACTATGGAAATATAAAAAATGGGGCTACTAGATGGAGGTTCAACACAACCCTTTTAAAGAACAACACATTTATATCACAATTGAGATCAAAACTGACCGAATTTATAATCTTGAATAAGAATAGCGTCACAGATGTGACGGTGGTCTGGGCCACCATCAAGGGTTTTATACGAAATAATGCTATACGGTTCAGTTCCCACCTACATAAAAGCCGACTGCAAAATATTTCTCACCTAGAAGAAAAATGTAATATGTTGGAAAAAGTCCTAAAAGAGAGATACACAACAACAATAGAAAGTGAGCTCAAAACAAAGCAAGCAGAACTTAACGACCTAGTTAAGACACAGGGCAGAATATATGATCCATATAACCAAACACAAGTATTATGCAGAAGGCAGCAGACCAAGCCACCTTTTGGCATTAACTTTAAAACAACAAGAGGCTAAAAGGACCATACCAGCAATCAGATGTAATAAACGCGGAACAGTATCTTCTACAGAGGAGATAAATAAACATTTAAAAATTACTTTAAAGAACTGTATTCAAGTAGCTCAGTCCCTTCTGACGAAGACTTCGCCAATTTTTTTAGCGGATTAGGCCTCCCTACATTATCATTAGATGACACCAAAACACTGGAGTCACCTATCACGCTGGAGGAGCTCTATAAAGCTGTCAAAGCTACAAATAAGGGCTGTACGCCGGATATAGATGGCATACCTGTGGAACTCTATTTTACATTTTGGGATATTATTGGACCGGTATGGTTAGAAACACTTAATTATGGCTACCAATAAGGGTATGTTCCACAAAGACTTAAATACGGCTCTGATTACGGTTATACCCAAACCTGGAAAGGACCAATTGAATGTTCTAACTATCGCCCAATATCAATGATAAATGCTGACCTCAAAAAAATGTCCAAAGTCTTAGCTATTAGACTTGAGACATTGGTTGGGAAATGAATAAGCCCAGATCAAACAGGCTTTATTAAAGGGCGGCTCGCATCTGATAATATCCGGAGACTCCTGCACATTCTTGGCGCAACACATACAATTCCACCTGCCTGTGGCCTTTTGTTTTTAGATGCTGAAAAGGCGTTTGATCGCGTGGAATGGCCATATCTATGGAGGGTTCTGAAAGAATTTAAATTTGGAGATACATTTATTAACATGATTCAAACATTGTATGCGAATCCTACAGCTCGAGTATGCGTGGGAGGAAGCTTCTCTGACTTATTTGACATAAAACGGGGTACAAGGCAAGGAGACCCTCTGTCTCCTTTAATTTTCAATTTATCGATCGAACCACTCGCACAATTCATTAGGAATTGTCCTCAGATTTCCCCCATCACAATAGGTGGAACGTCACATTCTATATCACTATATGCAGACGATACATTAGTCTGTATGGCAGATGTTCAGCGAACCCTCCCCTGTGTCTTGGAAGTAGTGGAGCAGTTTGGGCAGCTTTCGGGATACAAGATTAACCTATCAAAATCAACACTGATGCTTCTTAACATAGGCCAAAGTGAAGTGTCCCTCCCACCCCAAATCAATGTTTCAAATGAGGTCCTCTATTTAGGTATTAAGGTGAGTACTTCCTTATCATCTATAGCTAAAACAAATTACTCTTTAGTTTTGAAGAAAATAGAAGAAGATATTACAAGATGGAAACACCTTCCAGCATCAGTCCCAGCCCGTTTATCGGTTGTTAAAATGAACATATTACCCCGCATACATTTCGTAAGCTCAATGATCCCTCTAGCACCTCCAACAGGATACTGGCAAAAACTAGATTCTTTACTTCGATGCTACATCTGGAATGGTACGACCCAGTATAAAATGGTCAGCTCTTCAGTATAGAAAATCAGATGGGGGATTGGCATGCCCACATTTTAAACTATATCATTGGGCATTCATATTAAGATCTTTCAGCTATTGGGTAGATGAAGATAAAATGTCATCTTGGAAGAATATGGAACAAGATTTAATAGCGCCGATAAGATTAAGGGACTTTCTCCTTTCAGGTATATCTACCAAAAAATGTGATTTACTGTACGGTCCAATTTTAACTTATATGATTAAAGTGTTCAGAGCATCAGGGACATTCCTAAACTTTAAGAGTGTGTGGTGTAGGTCATCTCCATTATGGAACAATCATAACCTATTGACTGGGGGGAAACCATTTAACAACAAAGCTTGGGAGAATAAAGGTATTAAAACTCTTCAAGACATTAATGGGGAAAATTGTATTCTTGACTTTCAAAAACTGGTCTCTCAATATAATATTGATCAACACTCTCTCTTCTTTTACTTTAGAACAGGGGTCTGCCTGTAAAGCCTATGGGGTCCCCTGGGGGTCAGATTTGAAAGAACATCCTATTCTGAGTTGGGTGCAAAGTGCTCCCAAACAAATAGTTTTGTTTATCTATAATAATCTTAACTCCCAGAACTATATGCCTACATCAGGCATGAGAGCATGGGATAGGGAAATATCTACTTTAGGACAATAATTGGATTGGGATGCAATTTGGGCTAATGTTACGGGTGCTTCAAAAAACCCAAACCATCAGTATATACATCTGAAATGTTGTCATAGAGCATATCTACCACATAATTAGACACAGAATTGGATTGGTACCTGACCCGTATTGTTCATTTTGTCACCAGGGAACCATTGGCTCTTTCTTACATGTTGTATGGGAGTGTCCACGAGTATTACACTTTTGGGGGAAGGTTATTAGTACCCTTACGGCCCGTCTACACTACAGGCGTCAAAAAATGCTTTCAACGCTTCGCCCATTCATTTGAATGGGGTGACGTAGGATATTTTCAAACTTCGCCGAACTGCATTGTGGGTAGCATGGCAAGGCGTTGCAAGCATCGCGAGCGTCTATCGGCGTCAAAAGTTGAACAATGTTCAACTTTTGAGGCTCGATGCTTGCTCGAAGCTGGCGTCAGCCAATCAAATCCCGTTTATGCAAATCTGCCAGTACAAGCGCTAGCTAATCAAACCGCGTGTATGCTGGGAGAGACTACGCAGGTCATTTCCTCATATTCAAAAAAATAGAGGGAAAATTCATGTGATTGGTTGTTGGTCGCGTTGCTCGCAAAAAATCGCCAAGCCTCAGACACGCCCAGCTTCAAGCTTTTTCGACGCCTCTAGTGTAGACGGGCCGTTACGACCCGTCCACACAGCGGCGTGCGTTGAAGCTTCCAACGCTTCTGCCCATTCACTTTGAATGGCGTGACGTCACTTTTAGCCGAACTGCATTTTGGGAAGCGACGTGGAACGTTGCTGGCGTAGCTGGCGTCAAAAGTTGAGCAATGTTCAACTTTTGACGCCTCGATGGAGGCGTCAGCCAATGAAATCCCGTTTATTCAAATCTGCCAGTACAATCGCTAGCCAATCAAACCGCGTGTATGCTGGGAGAGACTACGCAGGTCATTTCCTCATATTCAAAAAAATGGAGGGAAAATTCATTGTAGCGGTAGTGAATCACCCGGTGCTGTATGATCAGTCTATGTTCATCTACCGGGATACAAACCAGAGGAGCGATGCATGGAGGGAGGTGGCAGAGACAGTGGGTGAAACTGGTAGGTTTTCGCCTGTTTGGGGATTTTATATCCAGTTTACTTCGTTTTAACATTGCTATTGCTTTGTATGTCGGGGGCGGGAGATTCATGTGATTGGTTGTTGGTCGCGTTGCTCGCAAAAAATCCCCAAGCTTCAGATACGCCCACCTCCAAGCGTCAACGCACGCTGCTGTGTGGACGCTCCGTTACAGATTTAATAGGGTTGAGATTACCAATGGAACCTGCTGTACATCTTCTAAATGATGAATCTCACCTTACCCTTACGGGGAAAACTCACAAAATCTGGCTAACAGGCTTGACTGCAGCTAAAAAGATTATAGTCCAACGTTGGAAACCTCCTCACGATATTTCAAGTTCTCACTGGCTTCAGAGTTTTTTGAACATTTCTTACCTTGAACTGTCCTCTGCGAGAATCAACGATGCAAAACCTGATACAATTTTAATGTGGACAGATCTGATATCTAACTTAAAGGAGCTCCTGACCAAATAAGAATGCTATCCCTGAGGGGATATTGTTGCCCCGGTGGATGGGTGGGCGATGGAGTGGGTGGGTAGGTAGGTGGGTGGGATGGGATTGAATTAATCCAAAATGTTGTGCAACCTGAATTGTCTTCTGTACTGTGTTGTAAATTGAAGATGTTGCAATAAAAAATGTATGATAAAAAATAAAAAAGCTGCTGTGACAAAGCAATATACCAGCTTTGGATGAATAAAGTATATATGTATCTATCTTATCTATCTAAGTATCATAAACTTGTGCCATATATTAAATTGTATTGCCATATTCCAAAAACCAAAGCAGAAATCCCATTGCTTTTTGTTGACCTGACAGTTCTAACTTCCGAACCGGCGTGAAGAGATGCATCATCCCTGCACCAATTCATATAAAACCCAGCTCCATGGACGTGGTCAGTTTTCTACCCTGAGACTCACTCTCGGAGCTCCTGGTCGCCTGCGACCCGGTCCCCGATGATGCACACCATTTTGGCCAGCTGAGTCACCAGCCTCTGCTCCTGCTCACTCTCTACTCTGGCAGTGAGCGGAGTGAGGGGCGGGACCTCCTCTGGGGGCATGTCCTTCAGCTCCACCTCTATGATCCTGGAAGAGAACAGGACGTTAAAAATCTCACTGGGGGGCCGCCGGATAACTCAGTGGTTTGAGATGGCGTCCCATTTCCACTCAGTCCCCGCCCCCAAGTATGTTGGTTTCCCCGTTTTAACTCGGTATCTGGAAAAAAGGCAGTCTGATCTGTGTTGAATTCATGTATGTGTTTATTTGAAACAAATGAATAAAGCTAAGCACAAATGTGTGGCTCCTTTTACTTTATTGTACACTGTGTCATTTTTAAGGCTATCACAACAATTCTCACCATTCTCACCTTGAGATGACATTGTTTTTAAAGTGTGCTATATAAATGAAATGTATTATTATTATAAATTATATTTGCCCTTTTTCTTAATAATATATGTAACATTTCTCATTAATAGACATATAAATATATAAAATACAAAAAAGTATAAAATAAAATGTTTTCTACTTCTGCCTTTAGTAAAGCTGAAGTGAGAATCAGAATTATTTTTAATATATACATAGGTATATAAACACAAGAAGTTAAAGTAAGAAATTAAAATGAACAGATCATAAAATAAAGATATGCATATTAACATGAGAAGTTAGAGTAAAAATGTGCACATTGAACTACAATATGTAATGTTTATTACAATGTATAACAGTGGTGTATTCATATGAATAAGATATCATGCTGATGAGTCTAAGAGAGTTTGGCCGCTCGTGGTGATGTAAGTATAGTGCCAGGTAATGATATGGGGGGGGTAAACATCGAGGTACTAGGTCGTCCGCTCTACCATGAGTCCAGTAAATGTAGAAATATACATTTTAAAACAGTTTAAGAGGGTGATGGTGATGCAGAGTGTGAGGTGTGTTTTTTACAGCTGACTGTGTGTTGCAAGAATAGATCAAGATAAACCAGGATGCTCATAACGTGCATCCTGCCAGGTTTACGGTGCAACACCAATTCCATTTCGTATCTCCTGTCATGATCACAAAGTTCAAAGAAGTGTGATTTACTGTAAGTGCGTTATCTGTTAACGTGCACTGAGACTAAAACTGGCTTTGGATAAGGAATTAAACGACTGATTGAAGGTAGAAAATGCTATATTGTTCATTAAAAAAGGTGACATGCAGAGTTGAATAAAATAAGGGAAGTGAAAGTTAAAAAATGAACAAACATTTGATGTTTTCAAGAGTGTTTTCTGCTGTGCTTTAGATACTGGGCTGAGGAAGTAAGTTACACTAGTTACAGGTCAGGGCAACTAGTCAAAGTCAACTCAATTATCAATATCTCTGAGTGTTGTACAACCAGAGAGACTGAAATGCTGTTTCCCCATCGTCCCAAAGATTTTATATATATATACATGAGCACAACAATAAATATATAAAAATGGTAGTCTGGTAGACAAAAAGAGCTAAAACCGGTTCTCATTATTGTTTAGCATGCTCACTCGGGCGTGATCGTAGAAAATGTCTTTACAGGTGGCAGGAAATAGACCCTTTTACATTTGTATTTTAAAATATATCTATTAAATCAGAACTAGCATAATGATTAATCAACCAATCAGCCCTATTTATTGGTAAATGTTTTGATTTGAATGTTGTTGTTTTTGGTTGAACATTATTGTAAACTGAATAATTAAAAGTCTTTAACATGTGGTTGAATGAAATCTATTTATAAGAGCGGTTATTTAATGTTACTGTTTCTTGCTAATGCATGTTTTATTATGTAAAATGCCTTGGAATATATTTTAAAGGCCTTTTCTAATACAACTTATAATGATTATTATGAGTGAAGGAACTTACTCTATGATCAGGGCTTCTCCTATCCTCGCATCTGTGGAGAGTAAAACAGCTTTAGTTACTTTCAAATGACCATACCCTGCCTAAACCACGAGTAGCCTACTGTATTTTGAAAGCCGCGGGCGATATTAAAATATTAGGCAAACATAATAACAATTCTTAACTTCTGCAACTTCATTTGGACTCGAGCTGTACATTAAAAATGAGAAACGTACCCGACATACCGTTCACTTCGCACGCCATGGCTTAAAGACCGGGATTTAAAGTTGAGAGAAACTCTTGAAGAAACTCTGCCTCTTCACTTCACTGCCAGATAAAACCACCCTCAAAAACCTGAGACGGTGTTTGAAATAAATGTAACACTGTTCACATGAAATACCAACATTGGTCCTTTAATAGAAAAAGCCGAAAGTGAAGTTCTTGGAGTCCCGTCTTAAAGTAAACCCTGAGGAGCGGGCTGCGCTGAACATATCCGGGTAGACCTGACACATGCGTAGTAGCCTACCCCTCAATGCAGTACGAATGCCTCAACGTCTCAACGTCTCAACGTGGGCGGGAGCTCAGCTCAACGTGGACGGGGGCTCAACCTTTGAGGCACGTCCCGACTCCCGCGTTATGTACTTACCCAGTCACAAAAGTAACATATTATATCTTATATTATTAATGTATATATATATATATAATGATACTGGTAATAGGCCTATGATACCCTGCACAAAAAGGGCAGCAAATTGGACCCAACTACCGCCCTGTTTCTATACTTACCTCCATCTCGAAAGTCATGGAACAAATAGTATATGAACAGGTCGAAAAGTACCTCGCGGAAAAGAAACTAATCTATGAATTTCAATCTGGCTTTAGAACATCCCACTCCACTGACACATGCCTTCTTTATTTGAGCGACCACATCAAACAAGAGGTGGACGAGGGCAAGTACTGCGGCACGGTGATGCTGGACCTACAAAAGGCTTTTGACACTGTCAATCACCCCATTCTGATTGACAAGCTAAAAGCAATTGGTTTTGATAAACTATCGGTGAGCTGGATGCAATCCTACCTGGAGGGGAGAGAACAGATGGTGGAGGTAAACGGTACTCTGTCCCCCCCCCCTTCCCAGTGAGCTGTGGTGTTCCACAAGGAAGCATATTAGGTCCGTTACTATTCCTAATTTATGCAAACGACATGTCATCAGCATGTGACTGCAACTTGTTCCTGTTCGCGGACGACTCAGCCCTGCTGGTCTCTGACAGGAACAGGTTGCAGGTTGAAAAAACCCTCAGCTCCGAGCTCGGCAGAATCTGCACCTGGCTCGCCGATAATAAATTATCATTACACCTGGGTAAAACAGAGTCCATTCTCTTCGGTTTGAAACATAATCAAAGCAAATCCGACGACTTCTCAGTTGCAGTGGGTGACATTATTGTCACAAGTAAGAAGGAAATTACATACCTAGGATCTATTCTTGAGGCAAACCTCTCCTGTGACAAAATGACATCCAATGACCTTTCATCTAGAACCCACCCTTTATATTATAAAGTTGTAGGATCTGTATTATACAACTAAATGAAGCGTTGAATTGAAAGATAGAAACACTATTTGCGGCATGGCAAACTTCTAAGGACAGTAAACAAACAATAGCAAAGACTGAACTACATGTACTCACACAGAGTGTCCAGGTTCCAGGTTCCCACACTGGAAGGAGAAGCCGTTGGAGGTTTGCTGCATTTTCCTGGAAAAGCAAAAAACCAGTTGTGTTGATGTGACTACAGTAATGAGTTGGTACAAGAACATGGAGCAGCAACATGGATAATCATGATACAAATACCGGCAGGTGTTGCATCGGATTGATGGTGGAAGATGGTGGAAACCAGGCAGCTATAACATGGCTGTTGGCAGCAAACACGCCATCTACTCTCTGTAACAGATGTAGTTTCATAATGTAATATCTTATAATTGTTTGGTATAATATAGTATGTTTTATACATGTATTTACATATTTTAGAACAGCTTCAATACCTTCTCAATAACTGTAAGACAGCTGTTCAGGATCTGGCAGAATACAAACACACAGTCAGTAAAATACAGAGTACATGAAACATGCAATTAATACAAAATCAGTTAGAAAGAGTACAAGAAACAAAGAGCGTGATCACTCTGATTACCATCCCATCCATGCCATTAGCCAAACCCAAACTCCAAAGATCTGACCGCGTGAGAGCCATCTTGCTCACAAAGGCTAGATGTGTGCTTGGGCTTTGGGTCTTGTCCAGAACCTGTGCCAGCTAAAGGAAGAAAAAATAAAAATAAAACCGGCATTTTAAGTCATATTTAGCAAACATACAATATTTTAAACTGCTGACAAGTTCACTTGACTTGTTTTTTTTTAACCTCCTGACGCTCCTGTCCCCAGCAACCTTTGCTTACCATAACTGTGTTGATACTAGTAAAGTCTCCCTGGTCCTTGGCCTCATTCACTTGATAACAAATCAACAACACAAAATGTATGTCTTTATACAGTACAACTTGTATGAATACAAGTTGTCAATATCAAGCAGATAACTTAACTCCTGTTGCTCCTGACCATCTCTGTGGTGTTCTGAAAATGCACTGGCCATCCCAACTTGTGAAGGAGGAGCTGCTGAAATTAAATAATATTAGTTTTTAGTAGATATCTCCAGATAACCACATAAAAGAACAAGAACATAATGATTCTAAGAAATGCTTCACCTAATGATATCCTCCCATTGACATCAAGCTGTATTTCCATATCTGCTGGGATGATTTTTCTGTATTGCTCTTTAGCTTTGTTGTTTGTTGTCACATTGTAGTGGTGCACTATATTTCTTTGCAGAAATATGTGTGTTAAGGGTGTTGCATAAGGGTGTTGTCATGTTCAAAAAGTAATTGTTTTCCTCATTCCTGAGAACAGTTGTTCCGCACATCGACTGTGTATGCGCCCCGCCAGCTCTGGCACAAGCTCTATCCTTCTGAGAACATCCCTTTCATCTTTGCTGTTCCCCTGGTGGAATACATCACTCAGTGCATAATGCTCCGAAGAACCAGTGAGAGGGTGGCCATTTCCATCTGTTGGAACTTTGGGGTGTTTCAACCATGGCATATTCACATGAAGCTTGCCCTCTGAAGCCTGCTTCGTGTTCTCTGGAGTAGGCTCCATTAACCGTCCTTGAAAAGGTTGAAATGTCTCTGGCTGTCGACGGTTACCAAGCACCGCCACTCCCCTTGAATAGTCATTCAGTGACATTGGGAAAGTGTTTCCACGACAGCAAAAGATCCACATTGTCCCGTGGGCTCTCTGCTCTGAGGTTAAATGTAAGTGAATAGACAACCCCACATGGGCAAGTAATCACAGCCCAGCCACCTGAAAGCAGAGGTCTAAGTTAGTAACATTATGGTAGGGATCTTTGGGGATGAAATGTGTTCAAATTAGGGCTGTCAAGTTAACGCGTTAATAACGCGTTAACGCAAAAAAAATTAACGCCACTAATTATTTTAACGCGATTAACGCATGTGTATTTTTTTTCCTCGGCCGCCCCGTAGTTTCAGAGCGCATCGAGTTTAAAATACCATCTACAAGCTGATGCTGACAGCCCCGCTCCTGTCGTCTGCTTGTGGCAGACCACACTTCCACGCTCACCGGCAGGCACCGACTGGCTATTGGGAGGACCGGGAGGGTGTGTGTATGTGTGGCCCGAGCGAGCGAGAGAGAGACCTTACGTGCATTGTTGTTGTTAGCATCTGGTGCTAGCTAGCTGCGCTAACGGATATGGAGCTGTTTAAATGAAAACAGAGGAGCGACATTTCGCCACAACTGCGCCGAGCACTTGACTTTATGCAGGAAGCCAGACAGTGGGACATTGTACGAAAAGTCAGCACACTCAGCACGGATAGTGCGCAACATGATTGCAGCGTCCAGGCAGCTCCCGTTCGAGCATATGCCTTGAGTTGCACATAGCTCCAACGAACACACACACACACACACACACACACACACACACACACACACACACACACACACACACACACACACACACACACACACACACACACACACACCATTTGTATTGTATTATTGAATGAGAGGTTCCAGGTTGAATTGAGGCGAATATTTGTAATGTTCAGAGGTTGTTGTGTTTAATATTCATGAGAATATTTGTCATTGTTCAAATGATAATAAACATTAGCATAAAGCATATTTGTCCACTCATATGTTGATAAGAGTATTAAAAACTTGAAAGATATTCCTCTAAGGTACATTTAGAACAGATCAAAAATGTGCGATTAATTTGCGATTAATCGCGATTAACTATGGACAATCATGCGATTAATCGCGATTAAATATTTTAATCGACTGACAGCCCTAGTTCAAATACATAACTCCATGATCTGTGTGAAAAACGATGCAAATCAAGAAATATGAACAGGTGTAATCATCTTCGAATATAATTATAATGTTATTTCACTAACCTGAGGCCCCCCAAACTTTCTCAAAGACTTTGTTATAAGTCACTCGATTGGACATCTTATCTCTAAGTCTGAGGACAAGATCTGTCTTGGAGCCTTTGGTGTCCAGACCACATTTTTTGCAGAGTGCCCTTACTTCCTCTACCTGTTGTAGAAATTAAGCCAATTCTGCAAATAAAGTACACTTTAATTACATGCATGGTGCATTTTCCAAATTATTTCACATTATAATCACCTTCAAGTTGATGATCTCATCAGAAAGCCGCTCCTCATTGTAGTTGTAGGGATCTTTTGAAATTCAGTGTTCAGGATGAGGTCAGAGTGCCTGGTTTGTGGCCCGATCCATGGTGCCCAGTTGTTGTAACTCAGAGGCACTACAAAGGGGTTCTTCTTACCATCTTTAGGGACAATTGTAAAATGCATTGTTTCAGAAACCATTCTAATCTTCATACATTCTTATAATTCAGACAAACGTTTAGGTCTCAATAGCTGGCTTTTCAGTCTGTGTGACCTACATGGAATGAAACCCTGACTGAGCATTTCCACAGCCACAGCATCACAGAATTTCTTGAGGTCCACATGTCCATAGTCTTGGGATGGTCTCTGAATTTCACTGACTGTTATATGAAACATTTGTGATTATCTCAGATAACTACATTAGGACAACCATGTACCCTGCTATCATATGATGTTACATGCATGAACAAATTAACTGACAATAACAATATTTGCCCAGCATGGTATTGAATCTGTGTATCTACCGTCCAATTGTTTTTCTTTATTAAACACGTAAACGGAAGAGCGTCTGAGAGGCCTTTTTGCTTTTTGCTTTTTACCTTACTAAAAGATCTACTGGTCATTGGAGCGAGGGGCGGGGCCAAACTGATGAGGGAATTATTTTTTGTTTCCATTAGTTCTTCGTGAGATTGATCCTGTTGGACTCAGTACTAGTGAAACTACCCCCACAAGTACTACTATGAAGTACTTACTGTGTACTTTTCCAGTATTCCTCTGTCCCCTCCTGAGAACAAGAATGCATGTTTCTCTGCTATTTTGAATCTGCGTTAAAACACCTTTCTTCATGAGACTGATATTATTGGACAGAGTATTTTTAAGAGGATGGTAGACATGATATCAGCAATACTTCCAGTCAGTACTCCGGCAGCAGCATTTTACACCTTGGAAAGTCTAGAGACTGGCCTGGATAGCTGGTCACAACTATCCTTCAGCACACTGACACACTGTCACTCTTGTTGGCCTCTTATGATGCTGCTGTCTTTTAATATATGATTATTTCTCAGCCACTAGTTCGTTCCTCACAGATTCTTCAGTCTCATCAGCCTCATCCTTCCATCAGTCCCAGTCAATGCATCAGCCTCCATTACACGTCCAGTAATTCCAATCTTTATTCCAGACTCAAGGTCCATATCACATACAAAAAGACAAAACACACATCAATATTACCAGTGTCTGACTCCATATAATATTGTCCTGATGCTGTAAGGGTGATACCCCATGATCACAAAATGACCCAAGGAGACACCCATGAGTGCCAAGGACCTCATAATGTATGTCATTAATGTTACATCACCCATTATTATAACAATTTGATTTCCTTTTTTACACAGATTGAATCCATCTACCGTCCAATTGTTTTTATTTATTAAACACGTAAACGGAAGAGCGTTTGAGAGGCCTTTTTGCTTTTTACCTTACTAAATGGTCATTGGAGCGAGGGGCGGGGCAAAACTCACGGAAGTGATTTCAAAACAAAAGCGGTGATAATATTATAAACAAAGGGAAACAAGGTGAATTTAGCGATCAACGAAAATCAACGAAAACGGACAAGACACACATTGAGCCCAGAAAATAGATGTTATTAAGGGCTGTAAATATAATAAGCCTCTGTCTAAAATGGACAACATTGTTAGGAGATTTAAACTATACAGCGATTCTGCACTGCGGTCACTCAGCCGCCTCTCGAGTTTGTTTTTTCAAATCAGCTGCTCTTCATTATTCCTGTTGTAATTTTCTTATTACATTTCTTATTCATGTATTATACAAATGTATTATCACCATTATCCTGCACAATTATCAATAACTCCCCTTCACTTTTTCTATTGTTCTGTGATTAAAAAACAAAAACTAATTATAGTTCATGTTCAATAAGTATATTATTTTCGTCGTAAAGAAAACATGTTATTCTTGCTTTTGTTCAACATGTGTCGTAGTTGTTTTGCAGATGTCATGCCAATAAAGCTATTTGAATTGAAGTGAAGAAGAAGAAGAAGAAGAAGAAGAAGAAGAAGAAGAAGAAGAAGAAGAAGAAGAAGAAGAAGAAGAAGAAGAAGAAGAAGAAGAAGAAGAAGTAGTAGTAGGGGTTCGCTTGATTTCCTTCACTGCTGCGTCTGGGAGGGGCGGCTCTACATCCCGCTGACGGAAAAGTGTCTCTGAGGATTTAGAAAAACAAGCACATTGAATTCACGTGTCGCTTTCTGAGTGCGTCATTGCCCTGACGCTGTGCATGCGGTGTATCTGGAGCAGCAGTAAACGGTTATTTTCCTGGACACTTCTTCACCTTTATTCAACAACATGTCATCTTTACTGAAAGTCGACCGCGAGCTGAAGAGCAAAGTGAGTGTGTGGATCCACCGAGAACATTCCACATGTGTTTGTATCACTGTAGAGGCTCTAAGCCGGTCAATAATGTGCTTCTTAGCGGCTCCCTGTAATATCATTAAGTTTTACAACAGTAGTCCTTGGCTCTGCTCACTGAAGCATTAACACGTTTTTCTTTACTTCGTTTGCTTCTCGGCGGAAGTAAACATTACTAATATTATATTATATAGCTTTTTATTAAATTATAATGTTTACCTTTAGTGTGTAACATATTGCATAATGTCCATGTGTCCCAACAACAACGATGGTAGAACACTAACGGCAGTGGTGGAAGAAGTACTTGGATCCTTTATTTAAGTAAAAGTAGAACACTTTGGTCTGAAAACACTTCATGACAACTGATAGGCCTGAATTGAGTAGAAATATGGAAGTATTGTCAGCTAAATATACTTAAAGTATCAAAAGCACCCATTATGGACCATGGCTCTTTTGAAAGTATTATATTATGATAGAATATTACATTATTCCTGCTTTTAATTGCTTATATTTAACAATCTAACTGTGGGAGCATTTCATGGTTGTAGTTTGTTAATATTAAGACATTTTTCGAATACAAAATATTTATATTGATAGTACCGTACTGCATTATTTCATATACAATGCATGGAGGACTATCTTGATGCATCCAAACCCTATTAAACTGTGCAACTCAGCATTAGTGTTGTATTACTTATACATCACAGTACATATTGTATTAATGTACATGTTAAATAATGTAGTGAAATGTGCACACTTTTAATTTAACTTATTTTGTTTATATACATATTGTATTTGATCTATTTATATGAAATGTTATTCTAACTTCTTATGTTTACATCAATATCTTTATTTTATTTCATATTTGTATTGCACATTCTCCCTTTATAACTTCTTATGTTTATATATAAATATATGTAGTATATATTATGTTATATTATCTTTTTTATTTTAGTATAACCTTTTGAGGTTTATAACAATTAAATTGTTACTAATGTTTGCTATAAACATATTTATTTTAATTGTATTTGATCGTTTATTGGACATTTTGCTCTAACGTATCAGGTCTATCAAATATCAAATGTCTTTTTATTACGTATTCTCACTTTAATTTATATAAATATATGCATTTTATTTGATCTATTATTGGACACTTTACTCTAACTTCTTATGTTTCTTTAAAACATTTATTCTAATTATTTGTATTTTATCTTAATGGACTTTTTACTTTAGCTTCTTATGTTGATGTAAATATTTGTATTATTTTAAAAAAAAAAAAAAAAAAATTACTTTTACATTTTTGGTTTATTTAACGAAGGTGGAGCAACTGTCACATAGCCCAGTTTTTCCTTGGATAAATTAAGTATTTAGATTCTGATCGATTGTTTTAATTGGCCTCCAATGTGTTGGCAGGTGGAGACGTTCAGGACTCAGATCAGCAGTGAGGTAAGTGTCTGACATCACACACCTGAGCCAAGGATTTGGTCCTCTGGTCACTCTATCTGTCTTTCATTGTATGTCTGCTTTCTGGTTCACTTTATGCTTCATTGTAACAATCTTTGGGAAAAGTATGTTATTCTAATGAATCAACGTTTATTCCTGTTTGTTTCTGTAGGCTGAGCACCTGGTCGCCTGCTTCTTCCCAAAAAAGCTCCTGGAGTTGGATCAGTTTCTCAGGGTGAGAGACCTGACCGCAAATTGAAATTGAATAAAGTGTAGAATCACGCATTATTACTGCCCTCTGTGGTCACTGATGGTAACGATAAGTTCACTTTAATAGCAACACATGGTTGAGCATCTGAGCCGTGATGCAAATAAAGAGGTACAGTGATGGCCGACACGGAAGTTAGCATCAAGAGCTCCCTGACAAAAAGCTATAGGATCTTTCCATCGGATATCGAGACAAAAAAAGATCTGTGGCAAACACACCTTTATCATACATACACGATTTGTTCAGCAGGATCATCTCCACAAGTGAATAGCACTTTTATGATTTTTGAAGCCAGAAGTAAAAAGCTAACGCGAGGCAATAAACAAACGACATGACTATCCCACAGCTAAAGGTGGCTAATGTCCGATTTGATGACATTAGTAGTCTCATTTGGACACTTGTTAGCATCCGCTGTTTTTAAGACCTTTAAAAGCTTCGGAAACATTCCCCAGTGGGGTATTTACTGACGTATTTTGTGTTGTAGAACAAAAACAAATCTTCAGCTTGTGTTAACCACATACCTATCTCAGGTAATTAACCAAAAACATGTTCCAAAACCTTTGACTTTGACCCAACAAACCTTTGAAGAGCTTAAATGCTGGCTGGTTACCAGGTTTTAGAATGAGTTCTTGCATCGCTCTATTGGTCAGTCAGTTTATCTTGCCTTAGCTGGCAGGACAATGCATAGAGCCTGATTCAAAGAACACGGGTACCACAGCAGTAGTTCCCCCTAGTGGCATTTCTTCAGACTCAGTGCACGTTCCCGTCAGAGGTCACGTCTTGTGCGGCACCTAACACTACCTCACTAAATGCATATATCATGTGATGCATATGAAGAAAATGAAAAGAGATCAAATCAAAAAAGCAACAGTTAATTTGAACATGACAACAGAATATTGCTGGTAAAAAATGACTAATTTACTAATGTTGATTCCCATGTGAATCCAAAATTATTCTTAACCCTATAACGCCAAGTGTATCATATTTGATACATGAGTTTCTGAGACCTCTACCTCATCCAAATGACTAGTACACTACGTTCCTAAAAGACCTGTTGTATGCAATGTGATACATGTCTTCTGCCCTCTGGTGGATCATTCGGGCACTGCCGGCTGTAGATCGCTTTTAATGACCAAATCCAAAATGGCTACCGTCATGTAACGGTTCAGAAGCTTTTGGAAGTGTCATCTTTGTCAATATTGAATAAATTACGGTAAGAATGACTTTTATATTGTTACTGATATTTCACTATGAATATTTACTGTATTGAAGCAACTTATAGTTTATATTTTGTAGCTTATTTCATAGAGAAATCGTGTTGAAAATGTATGTATCAAATAGTATACAGCAGGTTTTTGAGTACATTTCTCTGGAAAATATGTGTCGTTGTAGTACATTTCATGATGCAATCTGCATCTGCATTGTGGCTTACCACAATGCCAAAAACACTGTTTAGATTATTTAATTAACCTGTTAAGCCGAGAGCCCCCTCAGTCGGGGGCTGCGGGGTGTTCTTTCAAACACAGACATCACAACACGTAGCAATACGGAGCAAAAACGGAACATCGTCTCACCTTAGCTGTTATTCTGATCAAAAATCGATAAAAATGATTTAAAAACGCGGCTGAAAGTTAATCCATAGGTTAATCCAACGTTTCTGTCAGTGTCTGTCACTTTGAAAAAAGTATTGATAATCCATAATTACATTTTATGTAAAAATCGGAGAATAAAAGTTAGCTGCTAATGCAATTTCTATGCATACCTCCTGAAGAATGTCATGCCGTTGATGAAATGATGGTGCCGTTCAACGGAAAAGTCTCATCTTCGTGTTTATATGCCAGCAAAGCCTCACAAATGGGGGTTCAAGATGTGGGGACGTGCTGGACAAAGTGGCTACCTTTATGACTTTGATGTTTGTCAAGGTCCAGAAAATCCAGACAAGGAGAGATCTGATGTTGGTGTTACTGGAGATGTTGTCCTGAAAATGACATCAACCCTTCCAGCAGGAAGAAATCACAAGTCTTTGCAGACAACTATTTCACATCAGTTCTACTGGTCGACCACCTGAAAGAGAGAGGAATCCACTACATAGGCACTGTCCGAATGAACAGGGTCAAAGACTGCAACGTGATGGATGAAAAAGAGCTCAAGAAAAAGGGAAGAGGGTCAATGGACTTCAGAGTAAACCAGGAAAACATCATCATCGTTAGATGGTTTGACAACAAAGCTGTGAACCTACTCTCCTCTTATGTTGGCATCGAACCAACTGGAAGTGTGAAAAGGTGGGATCGAAAAACCAAGACACACATTATGGTTCCCAGACCAGCCATTGTTGAAGCATACAACAAGTTCATGGGAGGTGTTGACCTCCTTGATATGCTGTCTGCACTCTACAAATTCAGCTTCAAATCCCGAAGATGGTACATGTACATTTGGTGGCACACTGTCACAGTGGCAGTTATCAATGCATGGAACCTCTACAGAAGAAACCAGAAGAAACTTGAGCCCAGGATAAAACCCATGGCCTTGCGAAGGTTTCACGCTTCTGTTGGCACTTCCCTTACAAGTGCAGGAAAGGGCAAAATCAAGCGTGGCAGACCACTATCCTCTCCAGAACCGGACTCAATACCCCCCCGTAAAAGGCAACACTACAGTGTGCCTGCTGATGTGAGAAAGGATGGCATTGATCATTCCCCAACATGGGAAACCCGACAGAGATGCAAGCACTGCACAGGCAATCATGTCACACATGTATACTGTGGGAAATGTAAAGTCCATCTGCCTCAACAAGGACAGAAACTGCTTTTTGTCCTACCACAAGGCAAAATAGAGCTTGTAAAAGGGCTCCTGTTAAAAAAAAAAAACTGAACAAAATCAGTTGAAATGTTTGACGGCCCCACTCCAGGGTGCCTGCTTGTGTTTGTCTTAGCAGGTTCCTGGAGGTGGGCGGGGCTGTCGTCTAATCAGCCACACGGGTGGCACCTGGGCCAGTGTAGCTGGAACCCCCAAAAGATCAAGGAGCGCAGTTCCCCCACAATACCCCTTACGTTGTGGCACGCATCTCCCTTCTTTGGGTTGTGCAATACATTGCCATAAAGGCCTGACGTATCAAATATGATACCAAAAAAAAATCATATATGTAAATAATTACCAAATATTTTGTTGTTGTATTTTGTTAAAAGGTTCAATAAAAAAATTCAATTTTTAAAAATAAATAAATAAAAATAAATTTAAAAAAAAATAAATAGAATTTTCTGACTTATTTGATGTGTTAGGCTCTTTATTTTGGCCAAATCTAAAACGCATACATTTTACCGATTTTAATTATCTATAATGAATATTAATTGAGTCTGAATCAGATTTTCACCTCAGATAACACACTAGATCTAGACTAGAACATGCAGAGTGGAATTAATTTCCCCTTAGGAACCATAAATGATATCAAATCAAGGTCTGTTTTAGTAAATAACAAGCCCTAGAATGTTAATCATAATTATTAAAAGGTTTTATTTTATATTCAAACGTCCTTAATTTGAAGCATCTCTGTCTCCTTCATTGCCTGTCCTCTCCTGTAGAGCAACAATGCCAATTAATTTCTTGAAAAGTGAATAGTATGTGTATATGTTATATTTTTGTATGCCATGAATAAGAGTTGATTTTCGACCTTTTCCCTTGGTGTTCCAGGAGCCGATTCTCAACGTGACTGACCTGAAGGAAATCCACTCGGAGATCAAGTTCAGAGTCCCAGAGCCCATCCTCTTCACCAACAGCCATGACGGCATGGACACGGTGAGTCAGCACTTTATCGTACAGTGACTACAGAATCTCATAGTTTCAACTGTTAGCATAGTCACCATGTAGGGACGCTCTTGAAAAAATGTATCTTGTTATTACATATTTTTATTTTATTATACACTTTCCAAGACAGACATAACAACTAATGGTGCGCTCACACCAGATGCGATCTTTGGGGGCAGCGCAATTACGCGGACCGGCGCGAATTAGCTCCGACGGCGCGCATGAAGCGGTTGATGCGAATGCCGCGGTGCGATTGAAGGGGGCCGCGACAAACGCTCAAGTTCAATTTTTTCAACTCGAGCGTCAAATTCGCATGATGAGATCTCGCGGTAGCCAATCGGCGGTGAGGATCTCAGCCAGCCGTCACTGACGTTGAAACACAAAACCAACATCAGCCGTTAGCTCTTAGCCCTCAGAGCTAACAGCTCCTCATATCTGTTCAGAAACTAGACAGAAGTTAAACAAGTACAAACCACAGACTGTCTGAGTCATGGCGAATACAGTCGCTGGTTTATTTATGTCTGTATAGGCCGTTGTGAGTGTGGACGGTCGGAGCATATACTGCGTTAGCTTAGCCAAGCTCCATTTAGAAAACAAGCATTTTAAAAGGTTTTTCGCATGCCGTCTCTCTGCAGACTTGTCAAAGCATTAATTCATGGTTTTTACTAACCGGTAGGGATGCTCCGATCGCCAATTTCGGGGCCGATCGCCAGAATCAGTATCGGCTGATCCCAATCGCCGATCCGATCGAGTGGGCGGGGCCTAAATGGAAGTTTTAAACATCACTTTAAATGTTCCATTTAAAGTGATGTTTAAAACTCAGTTAATGGGGCTCATTCACTGGAGCTTCCACAAACAACAATCAACTTAATTATTACATTCAAATGATGTACATTATTCAAGTTTACATTAACTTTGGATAATAACACGGGAGAAATGAGCGGAAGCGCTGTCTCTCTCTCTCCCCCCTCTCTCTCTCTCTCTCTCTCTCCTGACAGCCTGTCAGTATCTCATGCAGCTCACTGATCCAGTACTGAGTGACCCGACAGTAAAGAATAAATATATTTATAACTAGTTTAGCTAGTTCCAGAGGTAGATAAAATAGCTAAGTGTGTTAGGTGTAACTCTTAGTGTGTGTTTTGCTCCGCTCACCGGTCCGTCACAGCGGGTGGAGCTGCAGGATTTCTGCTTCACACATGTTGCATACCCCTATTTTATTGTCTTTTTCGGACACCTTAAAATACTGCCAGACTGGTGAAGCCATTTTGGCGAGCTTGTTTTGCCGCACACAGAGAAAAGTGTCATGTATTTTACGTCATGTGATCGGCTCTCCTGATCGGCATGTTTAGAGAGCACCGATCGATCGGTAGAGAGTGAGTATCGGCCGATCTCGATCGGTGACCGATCGATCGGAGCATCCCTACTAACCGGTATCAGTATGTTGTTACTTCGGCATCATTTTGAAATGTGTATTACAATTAAATCACAGTCAAATATGTTCATTTTGTTGTAGTTGTAGCCCCCTTGCCAGCGCGTCTTGTTTGAATGATGCGAGTAAACACAGCTGACAGCCGCGGTGAAACTCGAGCGATTAGAGTGAAGCGAATATTCGCATCGCGTCCGGTGTGAACGCAGCATAAGACAGCAAAAGAGTACAGCAGAAACAAGAAAAAAACAATAGAAGTTGGTTGGAGGGATTAAAGCCTTCCTGTGTATTTCATGTGTTTCTATCAAACACTCTGGAACACATACATACAAAACATACATGGAGATCCAAGTCAACATCCACTTTTTCACAATTAAAACAAAATGGAAAGTAATCATAAGTAGCATCTTCCTGCCACATCCTTTGGCCTTCTGCAGAAGAGTGAGTTTCTCAGTTGTCATGGAGATGGTTCAGTTGCTATGAGATAAAGTACCAGTCATGTAGTAACGGGTGATAAAGCTCAATTAAAGAAAATACTTTAAGGAAAATTAATGATGAATGAAAACACTTTTACACCATTACGGTCTGATGTAAACAAATAAACAGTAGATTAGAACAACAGCCATAGTCATGGTTACTGTACATATAAAATATGGTGACAGGATGTTGAGAGATGAGGATAACAACAAATAAATCCAACTGAAGAGAGCTTCGACCGTGTTTAAGTACAGTGATCGAGAGGGGCAAATGCTCCACAACGACCAAAAATGTGGTGTGTGTGTGTGTGTGTGTGTGTGTGTGTGTGTGTGTGTGTGTGTGTGTGTGTGTGTGTGTGGTGTGTGTGTGTGTGTGTGTGTGTGTGTGTGTGTGTGTGTGTGTGTGTGTGTGTGTGTGTGTGTGTGTGTGTGTGTGTGTGTGTGTGTGTGTGTGTGTGTGTGTGTGTGTGTGTGTGTGTGTGTGTGTGTGTGTGTGTGTGTGTGTGTGTGTGTGTGTGTGTGTGTGTGTGTGTGTGTGTGTGTGTGTGTGTGTGTGTGTGTGTGTGTTGATTGGTCTGAGAATTGCTGGAATGTCAAAGAGAAAAGCCAAACAAATTGCCAAATATTGCTCTGTTTCAGCTATTATTGGCAGCTTAGCCGTGTGGAGAAGGAGATGCTATGTGTTCCCCTAAGTGTTCTGTGCTGCTTAGCCCCGATATGTTTGATTCCCTGTCTTATGTAATATAATTTGTGGAACCAAATAAAGTATTCAAATGTGTGTGTGTGTGTCCGCCCGCCGTCAGTCTAGGAAGTTCTTTGATTTCATACGCATCACAGTTTGAGTCGAGCACACCTTTAAGGTTACCGGGCTTCTTTTGCCTCTATTACAGTACAGCTGAAGTTAGAAAGGAAAGAGTGTGAGAATGGACAATATGGGATTCAGATCGATCTCCATCCATCAGGACCGTCTGTCATGAATAAAATGATATGAGCCCTTCTGTTTGTGCTGCAGAACACCAGGAAGAGGAAACTTGACGATGGACTCGCTGATGAGAGCTGGCAAGGTAAAACTAAACTTGGTAAAGAATCACGGTGACCGCCTTGTGTTGATCGCGCAGCAGAGTGTGAGAGCTGTAACCTGCCGCTACAGAACTCTTTGGTGAGAGGAACCGTTTGTAATTGTGGACGCTCTGTTCTGTTTCAGGCGGAACCAAAACAGCTGTGATGCCGGAGGGGATAATAAAATGCAACACCAAGCTGGTGGACCTGATCGAACGAGTCAAACCAGAGATCCGCACGCTGATCGAGAAGTGTAACACAGTAAGTCTCATACAAAATGCAACCTAAACTAACTGCGCAGACATGTGTATGCTATATAATATCTGATGAGCCACCGCATAGTTGTTTAGTGATTATTATGTTTAGCATCTTTTGACAAAAAGCCAATGGGATTTTTCCATTGGCTTTTGGAATAATGCAGAAAATAAGATCTGAGGCGAACAATAATTTATTATTAAGAAGGATAATCACCGTATATCAGTGTTGTAGTCAAGTCACCAATTCACCAGTCCAAGTCACTCGAGTCACCCAAGGAGTGTCCGAGTCGAGTCCGAGTCATCGTTACCTGTGTTCGAGTCCGAGTCACCTAAGGAGTGTCCGAGTCGAGTCCGAGTCATCGTTACCTGTGTTCGAGTCCGAGTCACCTAAGGAGTGTCCGAGTCGAGTCCGAGTCATCGTTACCTGTGTTCGAGTCCGAGTCACCTAAGGAGTGTCCGAGTCGAGTCCGAGTCATCGTTACCTGTGTTCGAGTCCGAGTCACCTAAGGAGTGTCCGAGTCGAGTCCGAGTCATCGTTACCTGTGTTCGAGTCCGAGTCACCCAAGGAGTGTCCGAGTCGAGTCCGAGTCATCGTTACCTGTGTTCGAGTCCGAGTCACCTAAGGAGTGTCCGAGTCGAGTCCGAGTCATCGTTACCTGTGTTCGAGTCCGAGTCACCCAAGGAGTGTCCGAGTCGAGTCCGAGTCATCGTTACCTGTGTTCGAGTCCGAGTCACCTAAGGAGTGTCCGAGTCGAGTCCGAGTCATCGTTACCTGTGTTCGAGTCCGAGTCACCCAAGAAGAGTCCAAGTCAAGTCCGAGTCATCGTTACCTGTGTTCGAGTCCGAGTCACCCAAGAAGAATCCAAGTCAAGTCCGAGTCACAAGTCTTCATGTATTAATCTTCGTGGATATATGTGTTGAAATGTAGCTGCTCCTCTACATTGCTTTTATCCTGTCATGTTATACTAATCTGTCTATTGAACTGCTGTGAAGCCAGTTTGGCTACAATTCTTGTAATAGGTGCTATACAAATATAAAGCTTATTACTAATATTATTATTATTGTAAACAACCTTTTAATATGTCTAACTATATTTAAAATTAGTTACCTTTTAGAGAAGTGATTATATTTGTATGCCAATATTTTCTTCTGGTAAGGTTTTCGTTTTGCACTTGTATTTTGATAGTAATAAGATCGGGACTCTTATTTTGAAGGAACTTTTACCGGAAGTCAATGGACAACGGAGCAGTGTAAACACACATGTATAATGACGGATAGATGACAAATAAATGAACATTATACTAAATAGTTACATTGGGTTTTTAGCACCTGGCTGATAAGGGCATACGTTATTACGTTGGTAATGATTGTATACAAGCAAGGGTGTGCAATAAACAGATCCCATCAGTTGGAGAGTCCGAGTCCAGGACTCGAGTACTCCATCTTTGCCATATATTAACAACATGTTGATAATAGTTAAAGCGTAAATGCAACCGGCAGACATATTGCTATAGACATTGACGTCACCACCGCTAAGCTAAAGGTAGCTAATGTTCAGCATGATGACCTTTAGTGGTCTTATTTAGATACGTAAAAGCTTCAGATATTCACAGGTGGGGTTTTTACTGACTTATTTTATGACTTTAATTCGGGAATCTATCCAAAAACTAGTCAGAAAACGATTGACTTTGAGACAAGGGGAACCTGGAACTGCTAAAAAACGAATTTCCTGAATTTGGACTTATTCCTGCACCACTATTAGCCCGGCATCTGTCCGGTGTGACTGGGTGTTTCTCAATGTCGAGTACGCTTGCTTAGTAGCACATGTCTTCCGAGCGTCTTGCGTCAGAAGCGAGGCAAGAATCCTTCCTGGCATTCAGAAAACAAAGAGTGGAACAGGCGAGCAAGTGTGCAGGTGTGCGTCATATGAGAGGCCTTACATTTTCCACCACAGATTTAGGGAAATTGGTCCGTAGAATTCCAAGTATGCTGGACATTGGAACAGTACTTCGGCGGCGTAATATGCTTGAAATAGTGGCTCTGGAGCAGCTTTACTCGACATTGAGAAACACCCACTGTGTGCAGCTGAGAATGAGCAGCCTCCTCTGTTGGAGCTGTCAGGGTGAGCTTGAGCGATGCAGAGTAGATGGGACGAAGAAACATGTCAGTGTGTTTACTGTTTCTCAGTAAACATGAAACTAAGTTTATGTATCAGAAACCTTTAGCTACTTCCTGGGTACAATCAGTTTATAAGTACTTCACTATGCTTTTGAAATGAAAGTGTTTGTAGTGGCCGTTTATCTAAAGTAGAACAATTTGAATGTTGTAGTGACTCATGATCCAAAGCGTCAAAATACCTTGAATGAAGACCCAGGGTAGTCACAGGTAAGTCTGAAAGGTTTATTCATGTAAATCACAGCTTCCAAATCCATATGCCTCTTGGCGTCCACTACCGACTTAAAGACACTTTGAAACTTGGAGAAGTAAGTTACACTCGAGTACTATCACACGGCAGAGTCCTGCACGGGTCTGATTTTCAAGACCCGCTCCCGCCCCGCACCCGCGACATGCAATACCGAACCCGCCCCGCTACCCGCACATATTGCCAATTAGTTCCGCAACCCGACCCGACCCGTCGGCACAAGATCCGCAACCCGACCCGAACCCGCATAGCCTATATATGAGCAGTGAAAACGTGCAATTATTAACACACGCAGTTGCATATTTGTCTCAAAAAGCATGGGATGTTGGTTATTTTTTCCATCTAGGATGACACCAAAAGCCTCCCAGACGTTGGATTTCGCTCTTGAGGAAGTGTTATTGAAAATGCTGTATTCTCCGCTAGAGAGCTTCACCTCAGCCATTTCGAATGTGGCGCGCGCACAGCAGCAGATTGATGCGCTGCAGAGGTTATGATTATGCGCGGTCCCACGGGGGAGAGGTCGGAGGATTTAAACATTAAACTAAATTATTATTATTTTAATATATTTATTATGCAACACCCGCGAACCGACCCGCATCATCTTTGTTGAACCCGGAAAAAAGCGTTTGAAAAAATACCACCCGCGAATCACCTTTTTTGCGGGTCACCCGCGGGTACCCGACCCGATGCAAGACTCTGCCACACGGTCACACGGTCACATGTGGACGCGGGCCATCAAAAAACTTCTATTGTCTTACTGGCATAGGGTCGTTTTAAACTGTGCACGAGAGTCTGCTGTACAGCATGAAACTAAGTCCTAAACAATAATAAATATTAACCTTAGCACAGTCCAGAAAAGTTTACAAAAATTAAATTATTATAAAATTATTATTACATTAATTAAAATTCAAAGAATATACACCTCTTTTGCCAACATTAGCATGCATACTAACACGCCTTCATCTCTTCTGTTCTGCCAGGTGAAGATGTGGGTCCAGCTGCTCATCCCCAGGATAGAAGATGGAAACAACTTTGGAGTGTCCATACAGGTCCGTACACATCCTGGGTTCAAATAGATGATCCTGAAATAAGGGATTTTTTTCTTTTATTTCCTTAATATTTACTCTTCTATAGATCTGTACAGAATATATAGTATGCTCTATATTTGAATGTGTTGCACTCCCTATGTTTGCCACTAGGAAGCAGCACTGACATGCTCCTTAACTTCCACAGTTACTGTTTATTTCAGTTAAGCACTCAACTGGGATTGTATATAGTGTTAAAGTGCTGGTTTATATTACATTTTATAATCAGCAGTCATGTAAACACTAGTGCAAATTGGACATTTTAATAAGTATACTGCTATACTTATCTACATCCCAAATGACTTTCTACTTGATTGTTTCAGTTAAACCCTGTTATAATGCACATAGGTTCAGCAATGGTATCATTTGTTTTGCTTTTTTAAGGTAACATTATCATAATAATAATAATAAAAACTTGTGTGTGTGTAGGAGGAGACGGTGGCAGAGCTGAGGACAGTGGAGTCAGAGGCAGCATCTTACCTGGACCAGATCTCCAGATATTACATCACAAGAGCCAAGCTGGTCTCCAAAATTGTCAAGTACCCTCACGTGGTGTGTAATCTGTGTGTGCAGCATGTGGCAGCCAGGGTCTATATCTGCTCTGAAAAGCACATTTGGTTGTGTTAATAACAAGCTGTCTGTAATCTTTAGGAGGACTACAGGAGGACCATATCAGAGATCGATGAGAAGGAGTACATCAGTTTGAAAATCATCGTCTCAGAGCTCAGGAACCAATATGTGAGTGCTGATTTGTCATTTTAAAGCTGCATTAAAACCGGGTCAAAAGAGACATACAACTGGGACAGAACTCCTCTGTACAATACTCTCAATAATGATTTGCAGGTCCTAAACCTATACATGAGTCAGCATTTTACCACCTGCTGTCTCTACAGTTATGAAACCTGAATATAGAAGTCTACCCAGAATATTTGCCAGTGTAACCTTAAAAGGATTTAGTAAAATAATATATCAATCTAATACACAAATAGTTTAGTTTTCTTCTAGCTTGAATCAAACTTTTGGTAATTTAATGAGTGCAGTACCACTCATACAAACCGTTTCTAGTGTTTTCTTGGCTAATCTTACTTTCAGGTTCCGGGTTGGATGAAAACGAGATCCAAATCTTATTTCCCCAAAGTCCTTTTATGTTTGAGTCAGATGTGACCAGCACAATGTTCATATTCATATGTCTGCTTGTTGCTTATAGGTCATCCTTCATGATATGATCCTGAAGAACATTGAGAAGATCAAGAAACCAAGAAACAGCAACGCTGAAGCTCTTTACTGACAACCTACACACACACACACACACACACACACACACACACACACACACACACACACACACACACACAAGCTCAGTCAACAATACTGACCAATAATTCTATTTTTTGTCGTGGACTATCTGATATTTTTCGGTTTTTACAACCTCGGGACAATTCACGACGTGTCACATCAGACGCTACTTGGGCAGATATTTGCTGTTGCCGGGCTCACTGTACTATCTGTATGACCCCAGCTGTGTGGGTCCATAGTGAGCTAGAGTAATCCATTAATATGCTTTTAAAAAAGCACAGATACATTTCAGCTGTTCCTTTTGGCCTGACCCTGCATTCTCCCACATCTGACACGTAACCATCAGTCTTGACTTCTCAGTACTCTGCAGCGTGACCTCTGACTTTTCCCCATAAGTACCGGGCTGCAAGCTGTAGTGACAAAGCCCCCCCTCCCATCTGCTCCACTGGGACTGAAGCTCAGAGCCTCCTGCTGCTTCTCTTCCTGTCAGGGTCCTGGTTGAGTTTTGCTCTCATGGATGCCGTGCCTCTCCCAGGATTTATTGTCAGTTTTTTTTAGCTCCTTCCTTTTTATTTAGTTCATACCCCGTATCTGGAACTTGGAAAAAATTGGAATTTAAAACTCCAACTCCAGCGAGTCCTCTCCTGGTGGCCCTTAAACTGTCAAGAACTCCCATCTCAAACAATATGCAGAGATGCGACTGAAAAGCTTATCCGGCATGACTCCATTCCTCATTTTTTAGTCTTGGTCTTGACGTGAAGAATATTTTGTATTCTTCCCCCTGCCCACTTTCTTTCTTGTCTAGTGCTTGTTGTATCTTAGCATCATACTGTTACTCTGACATTTCAAGAAAATAGCCATTTAGCCTGCCCTCCTTTTACTGTGACACCCTAGCCAAACCCAAAGGAAAAAAGAGTGTCTGTAGTTCCATGAAGCTGTATAGTTTTTAAGGCCCTGCACAGTTAATATCGGTTTCAATCTGGACTCTTCAGTTTTCCCCAGATGTATTCTGCTATAATAATGTTATTTTGTATTTTGTTCACATTGTGATGCCATATTGAAGCCCGGTGCTTTAATAAACTTTTGCAACTGACCTTATGGGAAATTAAAAAGTCACGTCCAGGATCGCCTTTAAAGTGCATGCACAAATGTTTTTATTTCAACTTTTTATGCAAATAAAGTGTTAAAGGAACAAATCTCTCTGTGTGCTTGAAAATGTGGTCGAAACAAATTCAAAATCAATTGAAATGTATATCCATGTAACATTTTATTAAAATAATTCACCATAATTGCAGTCTCACAGGATTCCACTCTCAGGTGTTTTTACTGTCGGTCGTAAAAATCCCAGGGTCCCATTCGCTCGGTGAAAGCTAAGTCACAAGCATGCTCAACCTGGAGTCTCCAGTGTCTAGCCTTCCACTGCTGTCACACATATCAACGTTAGCAACAGCCAACGTTAGCCTGCGGTAATATTACCTATAGGCCTATATCAAACGAATACAAGCTGGTCGTGTCTCCTCAGACAATATAGTAGCACCTTTCTCTATAAGACCCCTCAAAAAAAGCTCAGCCTGCTCCAATTGGCTCGTTAGAAAAATTACTATTGTACCCTCATTCTGAAGTGGTTGGTGGCAAAACTGATTGAACCTGCATGCAATAGAGGAGGGGTAGCCTAATCTATATGATTATATCTGAATGACACGTTTTCACAGAACAGTGACTGGGTTGTCTTATTTTAGTTGGTAGTTGGTACACATGCAAAATATCCAAATGTATATGCACAAGCATTGAAAAAGTGAATACTTCATAAAAGGAACTGTTGAATTAAATGATGACAACCCCTGGACAGAGAACAAGAAAGTCTAACACAACCCCAGTTATGACACGACTGACTATCTGTAACGATTGTAGCCATCATTTAGCACAATGACCTTACACTGTCCATTAACTAGCTTTCAGTCAGACGACTCGTGTTTCTTGACATGTTTATTAAGCAGCATATAGTTTGAGTTTGGCGTCTCGGCTCGGGCCTCATCACTCAACAGATGTATATCTGTACCGAGCCTACAGGTGGGTGGTGGTGGGGCAGGCGAGCAGCAGCAACATGAACGCAGCAGCAGGAACACTTTCATAGGCATTGCAAAATAAGTGTAATGTGCAGAACATTGCATAACAAAAAAGTCACATTTATTTCTCCCTCCCTCTTTAACACACAACAGATACACGCACTTACTCAGGTAACCTGGCTCTCCATGGCTGCTGTCCGTGGTGCGGATTGTGTGTGCGTAAACAGCTGCAATAAAACAACTACACTCAGAGCCGGCCCGACCCATTAAGCGGCCGCTTAGGGCCCCGCAGCCCCCTAGCAAAAATTTAAAAAATATATTTTTTTTAATGAGAAAAAAAAAAGATCTCAGTACACCGTCGCCGTGATAAGTATGTTTAATTAATTGTGTAATATGCCTAGATTGCCTACTCTTAAAGTCATGTATTATATTATTGAGTCAATAATATAATACATTAACTGTGCTTTACCTGAACCTCATCATGCAACTAGAGAGGACAGCAGGATTGTAATTTCCCGTGTTCAGTGAAAGAGACAAGACACCAGACCAACCAGAGAGTTGCATGGAAATAAACATCCGTCTCATTGGCTGACAGGTACCTATCCTGTGAGCTGTGACAATGTTTAAAATAAACTGTCAGTCGGACTCAGAGTTTTTGAAGATGGACATAAGAAAACATTTTCTTAAAAAAGACGACAATTCTCAAGTGGTGGCTCACACAACAACCCCAGAGCCACCACTTGAGCCAGGTAAACAAGGTATGTAAATGTCTGTAAACTTCCAAGTTATGCGAACATGTAAGCAAAGCATAAATTACAGCTACGTTGACGTTACTTTGAATCGCGGGGGTAAGCTAAACCGTTAACAAGTAGCTATAGCTAGCCAGATATATTAAATAAACAATTTGTCATAGAATCTAAATGTAATGTTTTTAGCGTTACCTGGTGATTTCAAAGAAAGCTCTCTGGGAAATGTTGACTTACTGTTCGACATGAAGCTAGAAGCTGCCTTACTGTACACAGTTGATCCGGAGTCCTGTCAGTTAAAGTGTTTCATAGTTAGCTTAGCTAAGCATCAACCTAGCACTGAAATATATGGATGTTATGTGACAGTATTTCTGAGAAAAAGTCAGCTGAAATGGTGGCATAGTTGCCACTGCTTTACGTGTCGACAGCACGTTTGAACGTATTTGCAGCAGTAAATGTGGCTGTTTGGCCACTGACGTTGCCATAACAACACCTGAATTTAAATGTGCAAGCTCTTTTTGTGACAGATCTTTGCATGAAATTATAATTCTTGTGAACATTATGAGATGGACAGCCAGAGAGAATAAATGAAAAACAGTTATGAAATACTATATGACAAAACAAGAATACAATTTAAAAGGGGAGTGATTTGTAAAATATCCATAAAGAAAAATCTGTTTACAGTTCTGTTTCATATGGGTGTTGAGAGATGTATCCATAGATCTCTTAATGTTGCTCTCAAAGTGCACCAGATTGATGCTTTTAACTTCAATATTTAAAAAAAAATCTTCCCAGAGGACCCCCTTAGAGGAGGTGAGGACCCCCTAGAGGAGGTTAGGTCCACCGTGTTTACATGCTTATTTATACATGTGTGCTTATGCTAACATCATAAGACAAAAGTTGGTTCCGTGTTGTGTGTAGTGAGAACGCGCTAGAGTGAGGGGGGCCCCCAAGCCAAAGCTCGCTTAGGGGCCCCAAAAGTATAGGGCCGGCCCTGACTACACTGACACATGAAGCTAAATTCAGGCCAGCAGGGCCCAGAAAGCAACAGAGACACATCACACAGTTGACAGTTCAGTAAAGAGCAACGCCACAGTAAAGGAGGTGTGAATTTCACTCCAACTGCATCACAACGCCTCCCTCAACAAAAACAATTTTGGATTTTGGGAATATTGAAGAAAACAAGATATTTAAAACAAACGTTTATGATACTTACACGTTTTGTTCAGCAGGATAATCTCTACATATTAACACCACTTTATAATGATGAAGATTATACATAATCGGCAGAAAAATAAGCATTAGGCTATAAAGAAAACTACGTCATACATTGCATGACGTCTCCACTGCTAAGCTAAGGGTGGCTAATGTTTGGAGTCTCATTTAGTCACTTATGAGACATTGAACCTTCAGACGTTCACCAGTGGGATATTGACTGACGTATTTTATGCTGCAGAACAAAACAAAAACAGCTTGTGTTAACCACAGTAGCTGTTTTAGGCTTGTAACCAAAAACACGTTCACAAATCGCTGTCTTTGAGGGAAGGAAACAGGAGGTGGTCAAATGCTGACTCCTTTTCTGGGTTTGAGGAGTCATTCCTCACCAATCTACAGAGGCTGTGATTGTAGGACGCTGTGCTACTGGTGACACTGTTTTTTTACTTTGTATTAATCAATCCAAACAAAACATACGTTTTTTTGTATCCACAGCAGGCGTACCTGAAGAGTCTGCAGAGCCACAGTGTGGTGTCAGACAGGATCCGGTGGTCAGCTTCCTCAGTCTCTCTCTGTCCAGCACAGAGATGTAGGCTGCCAGGGCCAAAGAACTGTACTTATAAAACAATTTTAACTTTAAGTTTTCTGAAGGTGTATCATTTTTAAAGTGTTTCAGTGTACTTGCCTGAAGGAACTTCTGGACCTGCAGAAAATCTAAATGTATTTGATGAAAAACGTCAGGATAACCTCTTTATGTCCCTCTGTTCTGACTTATTGTTTCTAAACTGAGGATTTTAGAAGGAAAAGGATATTCTTCATAAGGAGAACAAATGAACAGCTTTAGAAAATAATTATGATATAGCAGATTATCATGGGTCATTTGGGATTTATGTTGTATCTTGGGCTATATAGTTTTGGATTATCCCAGGAGACGTGACAGGAGAACTCATTTGCGCAATGTGGCAATCAAACGATTGTCGTGTATTGTTTTTTTACTGTTTTAAATATGTCTTATATATGTTTTTGTGACTGTGCATTTTTGATTGGTGTTGCTATTGGTAACGCATGGATTGGAATGTCATGAATACATTCTGTAGTTCTAGAAGTCCTACAACAGAGAGAAAGTTCTATCTCAGTTCTATCACAGTCACACTGCAGTTTGAGACAGGTTCAGTTCAGACTTACTCTCCACAGTGAACACTTCACAGAGATTATCTGCACACAACTACAGACACTGTATTACAACCCTCTCACTGAGAAAACCCATAGACAGAAAGCTCAGAATAAGAGAACAGAAAGACAAAGTCAACCAAACTGAAAATGCCTGAAAACAGGCAGGTATGTTAAGGCATTTTAAAGAGGCTTAAACTGGTTTGGAGATTACTTGGCACAGTTAAAAGTCTATAAAGAGTGATGAAGACATTATTAGTGACGTAAATAGTCTTTAGTGAGTTTTAGGGTGCGATTAAGGACATGTAGAAAAAGATTTACAGCCATGATATCTGAACAAACAATGTAACAGCAAATATGTGTTGATGTAGCCTAACCCCCAGTTTCCACCGGGTCCGGCTGCGCCGTGTTACGGCTGCGCCGCGGCGGTCGTAAGGATCGCGGCCACTCTAGTCAATGGGTGCTATTCCACCACACGCGCACGTTACAGCTCAGACGCGTCCCAGAAGCGGCTCGGCGCAGCGCTTCTCTAAAATTAGGATGAATCCTATTTTTGCCGCGGCGCAGCCGTAACATAAGGTCGGGCAGACAGCCCCCCCTCGCAGGAAGTGGAAAGGTGAGCATCCGGGCCAGGCCCATCCCCCACATATACTAATGTAGCAGACCCCCCTCCTTCATCACAACACCTCCACTACGATACGCACAATGGACGACGAGGTTTTCATCATGGAAGTGGAAAAACACACTATTTGATATGATGTAACCAATGCTTACTACAAGGACAACATCAGAAAGGACAAGGCCTGGTTTTTAGTCGCTGCAGTTTGTGGAGTGGAAGGTAACAACTACATATTAATGTTTTAAAGTGAATTAATACTTGTAGGTACAGTACAGAGCCATTCAGTAGTTTAACATCTTGTGAAAGTCGTTAAAAAACTGTTCAGACGCTACGCTTCTGAAACGCTTCTGGGACGCGTCCGGTGGGTTATGGCGCTAGAGGAGGTCGGACCAAAACCGCGCCGCAGCCGTAACGCGGCGCAGCCGTAACACAGCGCAGCGCGGCGCAGACGGACCCAGTGGAAACTGGGGGTA